TCAATTTCGAACCTTTGGAGACGAGTATTCCTAAACCTAGATACTACTGATATTCGTACTCATAGTAGAATGAATCTGTAACCGTAGAGAATTTGCTACTTTGCGATATTTTCATATCCACTGATTTTTAGAGGTATACGCCCATCTCAACGACGAATAGTGCAATCCATTCTTTATTTCTAACTACTGAACAGAGAAATAAAAAACTAAGAACGATCAAAGACTTGAGTAATTTAGTTGACTATACTAGTAAGTCTTAGGAATTTACAATAACCTTAATGAGTCGGACCAATGTCTTATCAAGCAGTAAAATATCAGTTTCTAGAGAAGTGGATTGATAGAATTGCACTGTTTCGAAGCGATATAGTATCACCAATAGTAGTGAAACTACCACAGTATATATTTACTGAGTTCATCTCGAGCATTTAAATTGTACCTGAAGTAAAACTTCTTACGACATGTTCGTTAATCTAATTATCGATGTAGATTAATGTTACAACGTCAAGAAGTTTGTGGATATTCGATATCTAGTTAGTGTTTGTTCAAAGTTTGGTTGCCGGTCACTAAGCGATCTTGTTATAAATGAATCCATACGTTGTCGAAAGAGTGTACACTGTTTGTTTCACTGTTTCAGGAATTACCTGGACCGATAAGTAGTGATTACTTTACGTTGTAATAATACAAGCATTGGGTAAGAATCAAAATGCGCAGGAAAATCATGTATATTTACAGATATTAGCGTTTGTTATATCGGCATTATAGTTCAGTCAATCCGCAGAGAAATGTTATGATATTGTTCAATAGTAGCATGCCACGTTGATATTCTAGAAACTCCATCACGCTCTGACTGGATTGAAACCCTTAGGCTCCTTTAGGGCCTTTGGAGGCTCCGTCGTAGTTCTTAGAAGCCGTCCTAACACCTCCCCAGGGTAAGGTCTCTTTCTTGTGTCCAATTGTAGCCTGACGACTAATTTGCGATGGCGTTTTATTTTTTGGCTCTCTCCGATTTAAGTTTTCTTTTCAATATCCTTGGGCGTCTGTATCGTTGATGCATCTGAGATTAACTTGAGTGCAAGATTCAGCTGATCATCTCGAGTGTGCACCATTCCTTTATCTTTAAGGATTTGGTTTGTGTGTCTGATACATGTGCTACAAGTCCCTCGGACTCTGTAGAAAAAGGTTTCCCAATATTTATACGATTTTTTCCAAGGTAGGACTTAACGAACACTTTATCTCCAACGTTAAAACTTCGGATATTAGGATTTGGTCTATGCCCATCTATTATTTTGTTTGGCAACATGGTGTTGAAAATAGTTCGAATACATCTTCCAAATATGGCTTCGACAGGGAGCTTGCCGTCTAGGATAGATGGGTTCGGAATAGTTCTGTAGACCGTTAAAAATTTTGTGATTACCTGTCTAGTTGTCCCCTCGCCTTCTTTCAGTAATACTCGTTTATAGGTGCCGACAAAACGTTCTGCTTGTCCATTCGAATGGAGATGATAGGGCGGAGAACGTAGATGTGTTATTCCATTTATGCAACAAAAATACTTGAATGATTCTGCAGCGAATCGTGAGCCATTATCAGCCCCTAAATTCTCTGGGACTCCAAAACAGCTGAACAAAGTAGATAGCCTGCGGATTGTTTCTGAGGCTGTACAATTGGACATACTATATATTTCTGTCTACTTCGTAAATGCATCCACAATAATTAGAAACATTTTACTTTGAATTGAGCCGGCAAAATCTGCATGAAGTCTCTCCCAGGGTCTTGAAGGTGTGGGTCAATGCTGTTTCAGACCCATCAGGGAAAATGTGAGTGATAACTGCTCCAAAACCTTAGTTCAAAGCATCTGAAGCAACCACTATTGATAGGGAAGGATCATAATGCGCCAGCAGTAGATTGGAAGTTTGGAGTCGCTTGATTTTCTCGAAAGATGCTTGATATTTTGCCGACCAATCCCATTTTGTATTCTTCTCTAGCAGTTGGTTTAATGGAGCACGCAGACGATGGAGATTAGGGAGGAAGGTACCATAATGCCTGATCAATCCCAAGAAAGATCGTAGGGTAGGGATGTTCCTAGGTCTAGGCATAGTTTTCACAGCTACAATTTTCTTTGGATTTGGTCGTCTTCTATCTTTATATATTATGAAACCGAGATACTGTATCTGCTACACATAGAAGTCACACTTTTCTGTGCTAAGGCGAAAACCATATCAGGCTATGCGTTCTAGGACTTGATCCAGTTTCCTCTGCAAGTTCACCTTATCTACTCCCATGATTATGATATCGTCTAAATAAGCCGCCGCTCCTAAAATACCTTGTAACATAGTACCGATAATTTGCTGGAAAATAGAGGGTGTCGTCTCCACTCCAAAAGGTAGTCGGTTATACCGGAACAGACTCTTGTGTGTGTTAATCGTTAGGAGATCTTTACTTTCATCAGATATAGGGATTTGTAAATATGCATTTGATTAATACAATTTAGCAAAATATCGACCACCGTTCAGTCTGGCGAAGTGATCTTCCGGTAGGGATATAGGATACTGATGAAACTCTAGAGCTTCATTTAGTCCGGTGGAGTAATGTGCACACAAACGAACGCTTCCAGTAGACTTCTTGATCACCACTATTGTTACAGCCCAATCTGAGAAGTTTACAGGTTCAATAACACCCTTTTTGAGGTCGTTCTAATTTATGTTCAACTACAGGAAGACGCCCAACTTCGAGAACAACAGGCAGGATTCGTAAGGATAGATCGTGTACAGACCAAATCGCAACTGTACGGATCATTGTGGAACAATCAATTGAATAAAATTCACCACTCTACATCAACTTCATTGACTACGAAAATGCATTTGATACCGTGGACAGAACAAGACTAAAGAAGCTTCTTCGGCACTACGGCGTGTCTCAGAAGATAGTCAATATCATACAGAATTCCTATGATGAATTAAACTGCAAAATCGTGCATGGAGGACAGTTTGACAAACTCGTACGAAGTAAAGACCGGTGTCTGGCAAGGTTACTTACTCTCACAATTCCTCTTTCGCTTTGTGATCGACTGGATCATGAAAACTTCAACATCTGGGGAGAAGCACGGGATACAGTGGACAGCTAGGATGCAGCTGGACGATCTAGACCTCACAGATGAACATAGTGAATCTGATGCAGATGTGAAAGCGCGGATCGGAGAAGCAAGAGCAGCATATCTACAACTGAAGAACATCTGAAACTCAAAACAGTTGTCAACCAACACCAAGGTCAGAATTTTCAATGCAAATGTCAAGACAGTTCTACTATATGGGGCGGAAACCTGAAAAACTACGAAAGTCATCATCCAGAAGATATAAGTGTTTATTAACAATTGTTTACGCAAATATTTCGGATCCGTTGGCCGGACACTATTAGCAACAACCTACTGTGGGAGCAAAAAAACAGATTCCAGCAGAGGGGGTAATGAAGAAGATGCGCTGGAAGTAGATAGGACACATTGAGGAAAGTACTCAACTGTGTCACAAGGTAAGCTCCCACTTGGAATCCTTAGGACTAAAGGAGAACAGGAAGACCAAAGAACACATTACGCCGAGAAATGCAGAGAGACATGAGAAGAATGAACAACAGTTGAATAGAACTAGAAAGGAAGGCCCAGGACAGAGTAGGATGTCTAATGCTGGCCGACGGCGTATGCTCCATTGGGAGTAACAGGCTTTAGCAAGTAAGTAAGTAACAGGAAGGGCAGCAAAACTCAGAGGTCTCTTAGGTCGAAAAAAGGAAGTAGCTCCAGAGTTGATGTTTAGTAAAGTCTTGGCTTTCGTACATTCTCCCAATTCTTCTGTAAACACATGGTGGTGTTTTTGTAGCACGGCATTTCTCTGAACCCACTCTAAAGGGTTATCACTTCTGATTCGGCTGCAGATGTTGTTAATCGATAGGCTGGAAGCAAGCTATGATAGACCAAACCAGGACAATAATAACAGTCTATAGAGTCACTGGTTGCTTCTCTGAATCACGTAGATGCAGGTCACCCAACTTGTATTCGCTTGATAACCACCACTAGTGGTCAGGTGGCATCCTACAAAATCATTTACAGTGACAGAAACGGGGTGGCTCATTATCCTCCTTTAGGTCTTGAGTTACAGTATTTCTTCATACACACTTCATCATTGTCTTTTTGAAACGTATTCTCAATGCTGTCTGTTTCATTATCACTGCTGCTACATTACTTTAACTTCTTTGTAATATTTTTTGAAATTTATCTCCTACCAATATGGTCTGATAAACTGGAATAACGCACACAGATGCACCAGACCCTACGTTGGTCATGACTGACCGAAATATATCAAGCCCATATTTACCATACACGACACAAAATAAGATAAGCAAGCATGCAAAAAGTGGTTTGGATGGGCGTTTTATTTGGCGAAATTATCTGATGATTATTATTCGGTGTAGTCTTCGTTGATTCAGAGTAATAAATTACTATAATTTTTTATCAAGGAGATACATTCGTCATGCTATTTTTAGAAATGTTTCTGTGTTTTCCTTGTTTAGTAGCATTTGTACAACGATATTATTATGTATGGATCTCCTATACAATAGAATACTTTTAACTTTTACTGTAATGGGAGTTAATATTGTTCCTGTGTTTTACTTAATGAATTATTTCCCATAAATTAAATATGTATGTTTGCGGTCCATAAAAAGAAACTATATACGGCATCGTTTACAGCTTTTGTTGATTTTAGTCTAATCTGTCATTAGTGTTTGATTGAAAACAGTGATCCCGTTATTCTAGTAACTTATTATGCATCAGAGGCTTCAGCCCAAACGATGAAGAAGTACTCATCAATTACCTGACAGAATTTTATGACGTGTAAACCTTTCCTTATGGTTTTTAGATCCTCCTATCTTAAGATTCATCACGTAAATTAATAGTATATCACTAAATACCCGATGCTGTATTTGTATTTCTTCAAATATTTATTCTAAGTATTAAACATGAGGGATATTTTGTAGGGTGTGAAATATATATTTAACAAATTTAGTTGCTAAAGGCCTGATTTTAATCGCCATCTCATTTAAAAAAATAGAGTTCTTCAAGTGGTATGAACCATTGGATAATAAATTAATGATCTCAAATTAACGCGCTAACCGTGAAAATTGAGGGTTTTGTGTTCGATTTCTGGTGAGGTCGTGTGAGTATACTTTTAAGAAATGCCAAACTACAACAAAGTCGCTGTTTAGTAGTTCTTGTATATGTGTTTGTCTAACTAGGAAAGCCGTAATGCAAACTACGAACTACTTTACAAACCTCATAAGTAAACTATATTGTTTTGCAAGTTGTTAGTGCAATGTTACAATATTAATTTTTATTGAGAGAGTTAATTATTCAATGTTAATCCCCAGGCTTTTGTTTAAATTAAGTGTGACTTTTATTGAAAAAATTTAATTGCTTTAATTCATAGGATTAAAATAAATAGAAATAAACATTTTCTTGTCAGTTTGATTCCTCTAATGATGCACTTTTTAGTGGTAAACTTCAATTATCATTATATTTGTAATTGTGTGTAAGCATACTCTCATGTAATGGTACATTTCATAAACAATCGATGGAGTAAAAGGCATCATTTAAAGTGCATAAGTATTTATAACAATTATGATGTAATAGACGCGTAATATTGAATAATTTTAAGATAAATATATATACAGTAAAATATTATGAATTCGATTTCACTGTTTCATTATAAAAAGGAAGTCATTAAAATTAAGAGAAATGTATAAAGTAAACATGGAACTAAGTTGTTCGTTTTTCAATATATTCATTATTTTGCTTGTTTCTGTTGATTATACAAAATGTATGTCAAATGTAATAAGTGGCAAAATACTTATACCAGTATCATTTGGGGCTTATGCTTCATTGGATTATCCATTCATAGTATTGTGGGGGGAACATATTTATAGACCTTACAAAATACCATTTTATTATGGTAAGTATAACGATAAATATAATTACTACTATTATCCTAATTATAATTCGCAATCGGTGGTACCCATTGAATACAGTTCATCATTATCATCATATGAGAATTATGGAGATAATCATAATAATGAAATATTGGAAAGTGAACGACAGGCGGAAGATTTATATTATTATGACAGAAATACAAATGATAAAACTTCACCTACCAGTCAAAAAGATGATCGAAGTTATAAAAATGACAATTATCAGACATCCTTTTATGATAATATTAAATATACCCAGCCAGATTATAACGCAGTTAAGAAAAATAAATCAAATTCTATGTATAGTAAATACAATTACAAGATGCCTGAAGTTACAAATTCACATAACAGGAAACGCTTACACAAAGAATCGACATACAAGTATAAACCTAATGTAAATAAACTAAAGAAATTCGGATATAATGATCAATACAAAGTATCAAAGACAGTTTATTCTAATGATAACCTTAGAAAATATCACAACAATAACAGGAAAGTAAGTTATCAATCAAGTAAATCTAATGATCACTATCAATTCGATGATCACTATCATTTCGATAATCAGCATCATATCGATAATCATCATTATATCGATGATCACCATCATATCATTGATCAACATCATATCGATAATGAACATCGTATGGATAATCCCCATTATATGGATGATCACCATCATATCATTGATCAACATCATATCGATAATGAACATCGTATGGATAATCCCCATTATATGGATGATCACCATCATATCGTTGATCAACATCATGTCGATAGTGAACATCATATCGACACTGAACATCATATCGATAATAACTATCATATCAATGATCACATAATTAGGTCTTTAAACAAGAATAACGATAAGTTAGCAACAATGAAATTGAAACATTATAATCAACTTATTGATTATATGAGTAAACCGGATTATGATAATAAAAATTATAATAAATTTAATTATAGAAAATATCAAAATCCTAAACGTGTTTACAAGAAACCAATGATCAATAGTCGAGAAATGTTAAATGATGTTTATGAAAAAAAGAAATTAAAGAATGGCGATAAAAAACGTCGAGAGGAATACAGTGATGATCGAAATGATAAACCAAAACCTGACAATGAAAAGAATTATATTGATAGAAAAACCAATTATGATGAGGGGATAAATAGAAAAGCTCCCCCCAAAAAAAAGGGTAAATCAGATAAGAAGAGAGAAGACAATAAAAAAGAGGGTAATAAAGAAGTAAAACATCCAAGTGAAGATGATGTTAGTGTGATTAAAGTTGTCAATGAATACGCATAAACATAGAGTAATGAATATAATAATAATGTAATGATAATTTAATCCTAAATATAATAATTTAATGTAATAATAATATGGTTGCCTTTTTATAATTCTGCTATGAACTGTTGATCATTCATTCTGAAAATCAAAATGAACTTGAATGAATAAAAGTTGGTAAAATGATTAATCAGGTTTGCAATAAAACTTATTTCTCTTTCTTAAAAAAAACTTTTGTACAGACTCATTGTACTTAAGGGTTTAATCTACTGATTACGCTCATTTCTAACGCCCAATCAGTCGAGTTATGCAAAGAGACAGGAGACCAAAATTGCGTAGCAAACTTTATTGCTAATAGCTAAATAGTGGTGCTTTTAGTTCATGCAAATATTTAGGTGATCAAAATGGTATAGAAAAAAAATCTTTCATAAGTGACAATGGTTAAGTGAATAATTTACCAATCATAGCTCGATTATATTTGGATTTTATTTACTGAGGAAAATTCTACGTCATTATGTGGTTTGTACAACTTGATTTTGAATGTAATTCTTACAGGAATTGTAAATAGCTAAGTTTGCAATACTTTTTATCCATAAACTTGGTTTATTGGAAGTTGGATTTCAGAGACGTTTGTGCCAAAACTAGCTACCTGTTTACTTTTAGAAATTTAGAACTAGATAAATTCAATTCTTGCATAATATATGTTATTACTTCTGCTTTCAAATAGGCAGTTTAAAGCTTCATTATGAAATTATGGTTAGAAATTAGATATAACAGATTTTTCCGAACAATAAATTTTACGGTTCAAGAACGAAAAAAATAATTTTCTCTCAAAAATAAGTCATAATCAAAACAAAATACAGAAGAAACTTATACGAAAATGAACTTTTTTGACTAAACAAATAGTTTTTGAACTAATAGCCTCCCAAATTAGTGATTAGATGCTACAGTGAGCAGGTAACGTCAAGTTAGAAAATACAACTTACCACTCTTACAATGGGTTAATTCAGTGATCTCGAAGAATTAAAGAAATAGAGGTAAATAGGAAAATAGACTTCATAAAATATATAATTGGTATTTTAAAAGGAAATCAGTTCAATTTATCTAAGTCTCAGTATTAATAAACTGGTGGATTGCTCACTACAATATTAGATTTAAGAGTAAGTTATTTGATAGATGTTGATACTATGGCTGGATTACCATAATATTTCTAGGAGGAATTGTTACGTTTCCAGTTACCATTATATTAAATGGGTCATTACTCATAAGGTTATATTGACTTATTTAGCTTTCCAACACTAAAGTTATGTTCCAACTTATTGATATAACTTGTTGCAGGTGTCTTCGAACATAATTTCGTATTACATCGCCTTCCTCCTCCTCAAATCATCAAAACTCTTGGACACAATTCGACATAGTCGACAGATTTTAATCGGGACTGAGAAATAGTGTGATTAATTTAGATACTTCACTTTAAAATTGGTGTTTTATTGAGTTAACTCCAAATCTATTATTTTTCAGACATATAGTTTAAAGTTTTTGTAAAAAAATTCGTATAAATTTTAAGTAATTTAAGAAAAACTACGACTTTGTTTAATTCTGTTCAACCATAGAAAAATTCTCATAATTCACTCAGTTTTTATCTTCTCACCGAAAGTACTAAAATACATTCAAATACGTATATGAATAAATTTACAATGCTAAACTTTAGTAGAAAACAATGTTTTAAGTGTGGTCGTTGTGTGTAATCGACTGAAATCCATGAGCCTGGATTTTATGCCTATTAGAGCACATTAACAATTCATGTTTTAAATTTGAGGGTACCGACGTCCTGCATGGGATTCAAACTCGATTAGTTCGATTTTAAGATAAGAAGCTGGAAAACCATTTGAATCAATGGGGGACTTTACGGCAGTTTTTCCATTTTAACATTTTGACAGAGAGCTCTCTGTCGGGAAAAGACTGATATTAATAAATGCGAGCCATTTACTTTCATCTCAGTGCCCCTAATATAACGATATCCCAGCAAGAAAGATTACTGAACTCTTTTTCTGGTGTGGTCGCATATTACTGAGGATTCACAAAACACGATAAAAGTTTTGTCCAGAGCTTTCTATGTTCATAGGTGATATCACTTCCTAATAAGAAATATCTTCAAAATTATCAATTTTGGTGATTCGTTTTTGTCATGAATATTAATCATGGAAATAAAGAGCAAGAATTTAAGTATTTGGCTTAAAAAGATGTTTATGATTAAAACGGGGTTTTGTGGAGATTGTAGTAAATTTGATAATTGAATTCGTTAGTCTATGTAAGCTAGACCACCATTGAAAACCTGGAACCACTGAAGGGCCGTTTCGTCCTAGTACGGGACTCCTTGATGGTGCGCATCCGCGATCCTGCATGCGGAACTCGAGCCCAGAACCTTCGGTCTCGTGCGCGAACGCCTAACATCCAGACCACTGAGACGGGATCCAATGGTGTTAATGTCTAACTTCAATCGATCCATGATCTTGTGCAACCATTCATCTACTGTCTGGGGTAGATTCTATCTCTACCCGGCACGGATTCGACCCATGAATTTAACTATTAAAATCACCACTAATCCCACAAAACCACCATTCCGACCATAATCATCATGTGCTCACTAATGACCGGCTTCCAGACAATTTCCTGGAGTTATATTTATAAGTCAAACAAGTACTATTGGGTATTTCATACAGTGTTTTTCGTATGGGATCGGAACCACTGAATTCACTACCATTAGATCTTTTAACAAACGAGCACATGTGTTATAAATGATTATCCACAGACTACTAACTGTAGAGTTGAAATAAGTAATGGAATCACGGTAGATGATCGAGGTATATCAGTAATATATATGATTACTGAATTCTGCTCTTAGCTTTGTGAGAAAAGGACATCTTAGTTATTGAGTGTTATGACCCGATGAGAATAATGAATGGTAACTTTTGGGATCCATTTATGGACCAATACTGAAGGTATATTTTTATCGTATCATTGTTAAATAAATAAACTACTCATATTCATGTTCCTCTTATTTTGACCTATGAACTATTATTATACGATTTACCATTCTTGAGTTATGTCTGGCCTATCAATAACTATCTCCCACATTCACAGCCACTTTTGGTTAAATCTTGTACAAATGTTTGTTCACTATTTTATGGTACGATGTAGTCTGTTTGGTTGGTATATAAACCCAGTATGTTTGAAATAAATTATTCATATCGCAGAGGCTGAGATTGGTGTTCGCGAGTTAACGGGTGGGGCTACGAGGAAGCATGATCGATAAGAACTCTGGACTGCTCGTGCGGGTCTTATGCGTCATTGGTCCGATTGATAATTCACTGTTCTCTAATTGGCGGTGTCATTACGTTATACATTAATAAGATACGTAGCAAAAGTGATAACATTGAGATTTCCAACATTCCACTAATGATTATTTGAAAAATTTAGGGGACGATATGTGAATTTTGAGATACCAAGGTTATTCCATTCTTGCTTTCTTAGAATGAACACTACAAAAAATCAAGATCTAACTAATCACTTTATTTCTTACAAACTAGAGCAACTAAAACCGATGTATTGTCATAATGAGATCAGTATAGATCCAGTGAGTGAGTGTAACGAAAAGTAATAATCCGTTACAAATAATTACAGTAATAAATATGTTTCATTTTTAGACGGTCGAAGTTTTACCAAAAAACAAGAACGTTTTGCAGCAAATCTCAATAGATTTTTCAAAATAATCATTAAGAATTTGATGAATAACCAATTTGAAATAAGAAGAGTTGTGTTGTGACTTTAAACCCAGTTAAATATCGCGTGACTTATTCGCCAATCGGAATATGACTGTTGCAATTTAGCAGTGTGCCAAACCAACGACGTATCGACCGGTATGAGCAGCCTAGCGTCCTTATTGGTCCTTTTTCCTCCCAACCCTACCGGTTGAGTCCAGAACACCAATACTAGCTTCCACTGTGCAAACCATTTATTTCAAACATACCTGATTTATACAAGCTTAACAGGCCACATCACACCATAAAATAGGAAGTAACGTTCGTACAAGACCAAGCCAAAAAGTGGCTGTGAACGTGGGAGACCATAATCAATAAATTGAGCATAATTTAAGAATAGTAGATCGTATAGTAATAGTCTATAGGCCAAAGTAAAGCTTGTAGTAAGAGGAGTATAGATACATATAATCTAGTTACTGAATTGTTATACAATAAGAATATACTTATAATATTTGTCCATAAATAGACCTCAGAAGTGACCTATAATTTAATCTTCACTTGGACATAACACCTCCCCTTTTTTGAAGATTAGAAGTTTAGATCCTGAATAAAAAATAAACGCAGCTTTAAATTCGCTAACATTATCTTCCCTCACGAAATAGTTTTGGATCCTCATATGCCCAAGTTACAAATAATGTGATTTTATCTAAAAACATATTTTTCGCATTTGAATATAGAATCCATTAGAAGTGACTAAATGGTGAGGATGAGCGACATTTAATTTGAGGTCATCAGGGTTTAATTCTTCAGAAATATTTTCCTAAATTCACTAGAATCTCATTAGTGGATAATGGGTCACTAGGAAAATCAACACTTATCAAAACTGCATTAGACTTTTGAAAGTGAATAAAACATCCATGGGGCTCACAGTGATCATGCAGAACTTCGAGTTACTGAAGTTAGATTTAGTTCAGTATTTCATGGGGAATGGTTAAAATTGAAGATTGTTTTTTTTGTTGTAAACTCACATCGATTGAAAAACCACTTCAAAGGTAAGGACTGCAAAGTTCTTTGTTATTTTACAAATCGTCTATGAGGAGAGATCGTTTTCTAATGTTGATGAGTCTCACTCTAAAACAAAACAGCTTTCAGTGACATTTGTTTTTCTATGGCTTTCCACTGGACGTCAGGTATTGATGAAAACTATCTCTTTTAATTACTACCACTATATATCTCACCAATTAATCTACTTAATGAATTATGCAGTCATTTATCTTTTGGTGGTATAGTTATCCTTTTTTTGTTACTATTAACTTACAATGTTACCGTATTATCGCTTGCACATACAATACAAAGTCACAAGCTTTTTCAACAGATACTATATTCTTATTATTGTACGGATCTGATTTTTATTATTAATTATAGGGGGTGCAATTCATGATTTTTAAGTGATGCGTGATCACTCTGGGATATCAATAGTGAAGAAATACAAACCCTTACAGTTGATAATAAATATCTTACCTTTCAAAAAAGTTGGCGACTATAATGACTCAGTAGCCTAGTGGCTAACGTTCTGCAGTTTGTAGCAATGGTACAGAGCCAAAGTTTCAGTGAATAGATTAACACAGACGTTATTATATACAACTGGCTAACGCCGAATTAGATGAAACTGGTGTCCTAAATACTATTTAAAATATAATATCGGCCTTTTGTCTCTTAATATATTTTACTTATTTGTTAAACAGATAAGGGTTAGGGTCAGTCGATTAATTTCAAATTGTTAAAAATAGTAGTAGCAAATACTGCTTTGTGAATCTAATTTCTATTATGTATGTAATTCTATAGCGGCTAGCAGTAGAACCAAGGACGTGTGATCAATTATGTTTGGGATTTATCAGCTGGATGAAACTCACAAAAGAGATTGGTCAGTTACGGTCCTGAATATCACTAACTGTAAAGTGTAAAACAAACAGTTTGAAATAATCCAAGTAAAAAGCATTTAAATGACAGTCTTAATGCACTCAGTATTACACTTTACATTTTCAATACAAATGTGAACTTTGCAACAATATAAAGCGTTATTTGTAAATTACGCAAAATATTGAATTTTAACGAATGTACTTCATAAGTAGCTTTTATATATAAAGCCTCAAGTATATACAGTGTAAATGCCTTTGTTTAAGTAATCATAGCATTGCTGTTTTTCAGGATTGAAAAATGAATTTATTAGTATTCAGTATACTAATAACTTATATACTGGATAGCGTTTATAGTGTACACAATGGATATACTAATGGAATTGACACAACTACCAGTCATCATGGTGGAGGTGAAAGTCAGGAAAGTTCTGTAGATGTTTATGATAAATATTCCAATGGTAAAATATACAGTAATGAGTACACGAGCGATGATTCCAGCAAGTACACTGACGGTAAAATCTATGATAAATATGGTCATGAAAAGGGAGACGATAAACATGCTTACGGCAAAAATTATGGAAAAAGTTACGATAAATATGCTTATGACAAGTACGGGTATGGTAAATATGGATATGAAAAATATAGTTATGACAAATATAGCTATGGAAAATACGGATATGACAAGTATGGTTATGATAAATATAGTTATGAAAAGGGTTACGACAAGCATGGATATGACAAATATGATAAGGATAAATATGGTTATGAGAAAGGTTACGACAAATATGTCTCTGATAAATATGGTTATGGGAAAAGCTACGACAAGTATGGCTCTGACAAAAATAGTTACGAGAAGGTTTACGACAAGCATGGCTCTGATAAATATGGTTATGAGAAGGTTTACGACAAATATGGCTCCGATAAATATGGTAACGAGAAGGTCTACGACAAGTATGGCTCTGACAAAAATAGTTACGAGAAGGTTTACGACAAGCATGGCTCTGATAAGTATGGTTATGAGAAGGTTTACGACAAATATGGCTCCGATAAATATGGTAACGAGAAGGTCTACGACAAGTATGGCTCTGACAAAAATAGTTACGAGAAGGTTTACGACAAGCATGGCTCTGATAAGTATGGTTATGAGAAGGTTTACGACAAGTATGGCTCCGACAAAAATAGTTATGAGAAGGGTTACGACAAATATGGCTATGACAAGTATGGCTCTGACAAATATGGTTACGAGGTCTACGACAAGTATGGCTCTGAAAAAAATAGTTATGAGAAGGGTTACGACAAATATGGCTATGACAAGTATGGTTATGAGAAGGTTTACGACAAGTATGGCTCCGACAAAAATAGTTATGAGAAGGGTTACGACAAATATGGCTCCGATAAATATGGTTACGAGAAGGTCTACGACAAGTATGGCTCTGACGAAAATAGTTACGAGAAGGTCTACGACAAGCATGGCTCTGATAAGTATGGTTATGAGAAGGTTTACGACAAGTATGGATCCGATAAATATGGTTACGAGAAGGTCTACGACAAGTATGGCTCCGACAAAAATAGTTATGAGAAGGGTTACGACAAATATGCTTACGAGAAGGTTTACGACAAGCATGGCTCTGATAAGTATGGTTACGAGAAGGGTTACGACAAATATGGCTACGACAAGTATGGCTCTGACAAATATGGGTACGAGAAGGTCTACGACAAGTATGGCTCTGACAAATACGGTTACGAGAAGGGTTACGACAAGTATGGCTCTGATAAATATGGTTATGAGAAGGTTTACGACAAGTATGGCTCTGACAAATATGGTTACGAGAAGGGTTACGACAAGTATGGCTCTGACAAATATGGTTACGAGAAGTATGGCCATGAGAAACATGGTAACGACAAATACGGTTACGACAAGTACGGGTATGACAAGTATGGTTATGGAAAAGATTATGAGAAATACGGTTACACCAAAGAATATGGTAAGCATTATAAGGATTACTATAAGAAATATGAAAAATACGATTATGGTAATAAATATGAATACAGTGATAGTAAAGATCATGATAAGCATGATCATGATGAACATGACCATCATGACGAGCACGACCACCACCATCATCATCATGGGCATGACCACCATCATCATGGACATGATCACAAACATGGCAAAGGATACTAACTACAGTGGATAACTTCTTCCTAAGATATATAAAAGCTAAAATTAATAGTCGCAGTAAAGTGACTTTCTCATTGCTTTTTCAATAGTCAGTTGGTGAATCATATAGACAGTGGAAAAAAGCCACTTCTAGTGTGATATTAAAAAAACTAGTTTTCATTTCCGCTAAAATAATAAAAATTACTAAAATTCCAACGATTGTAGACGTTAATTTTATTTGTTAATCTTTATTGTATTAAGCATATGAAGAGAAAAAATTTAACTAATGGATAAAAATTTATAAGATTACAGTGCTGACGGATGAAAAGTTGATATTACTGTTACACGAGTAGCATCAGAATGGTAATTACGTTTATTATAGAGAGATTATAGATAGATACCATACATGTAGTTTAATTTGGAGAGTTATGCGATCAGCATCTTTTTTATTTAGATTAACTTGTTGAGTGAATCTAAAATGTTTTTAAAATAAAATATATGCGCGTATATGTTTTAAACCAAAAACTTTTTGATAGATTTACAACGTAAATTGCGTGTGCTCAGATATTTGAGTATCCAATTATGATACTGAGGTCGGGAACTGATCTAACTTTGACGACTTTTGGGAACCTGGGATGCTACTTCACTCTGGTATTAGAACCCTCGCCAATGCCCATCCACGACCCCGCATCTTGGAATTGAACCCTAAACCTTCAGCCTCATAAGCTAAAGCCTAAATCCTAGACATTTCAGCCGGCATTCAACAGTGTCAATGTCTAGCTTCAATCAACTCACTGTACTGCACAACTCCTACCTGTTACCTGCAATGGATGGCTGTGAAAATTTTACAAATTTACCATACTATACATTTCTTAGGTAATATATTTGGGAGTTCGAGCCCTAGTAGGGTCATGAGCGCATACCGTTGGGGAGCTCCACACTAGGATGAAGTCGGTTCCTGGTTTTCAACAGTCGTTTAGCTAATATCAGTTTGAGGTGTAAGACTACGGATCGGGATATACATGATTTGACCCAAGATTTTACTGAATTGGTGGTGTAATTTCCACTCATAATCCTCATACATATAGTTTTACCATAGTACTGCCTTGTCAATTTAATGATATTTTTCAGTGGTAACGAATCTTTGGCATGTGGAAGAAGCTTTTCATCTAGTTAACCTAAAATCATTAGCAGACATCTTTCATAAAACGAATATTATGTGATAGTTATAATTGGTCAGCCTTAATTTCATATATGTTATGTCTAGACTGTTATCACAATATTTTCAAGTAGGCTAACAAGTGGACAAAGCTAGCTGGTTATGAATTGACATGTAGATTTTTGTTGAATACTACTTATGAATAGTTTGACAACCCACAGTTCTCAGATGTTTATAGGATATTTAGTATGTGGTTTGCGGTGCAGTCTAGAAAGCGTGTACTGTCCCCTTTTGGATTCGTCAGCTAAATGTACCACCATCCCACTATTAATACTCACACTGAGATCGGATTCCAGTACCTTTTACTTCTAATGAAAACGGATTATCCAATTATTTAGAAAATATTTTACTGGTAACAATACATCTATTCTAAATAACTTATGACAAAATAGCTGTATCGAGACAATCCTTGAATGTTCCGCATGTGGAAGTAAAGACTGATCAAAATTCAGTTATAATTATCAACCATGGGATAACTAAGAGGCTAACTAATAGTAATATGAGGTATTAGTAATGGTTTAGGTTTTTCAGCTGTTAAAGTTCAGTAATTCTGACAAATCCTCAAGGAATCGTCTCGATGAAACGTGTCCTGGATCGGACTCCTGTATACAAACCAAATATACTAAGAAGTTGTGACTAAAGGTCCAGGATGCATACGAAGCAAAGGAGACCGACTAACTGCGGTCCTGAAAAACAACAACGGGAAATTACGAACCTGTATTAAAATACAGACGGTCTATAGTCATAAATGTTATCAAATGATGAACTAACAGGAACTAGGAAGCACTAGACAGAAATCTTATTCCAGTATGGAAGTAGTTAGCTGCTAGTAACCACGACTCCATGTTCAGTCGAACTCAGAAGTGCCTTATTCTTTGAAGTACACCAGGATTCAGTGGTTCATATCTATAACTTCAGTCAACTTAAGATATAGCGAGGTAACCACTCAGTGACTTTGGTAATAGTTGAAATTTGACAAGTTACTTCATAATCTCCTTACGATCGGTTTAGCAGACAAATGACGACGGGCAGAGCTCAATTTCCTTTATTTGGTACTGAGGTCTGTCATGAAGTAGCTTTGGATCAGTTTTACTAAAAACTTTCCTGACAGCAGCCAATAAAAGTCTCTACAATACAGTGAAATTATATTACAATTTTATAATTTTTGACGTTTCTTAGGGAGCAAACTTTACGATATTGTAATTTCTGTTTGTTCGAAATATGAGGATCTCTATATTACCTCACCATAATACAATAAATCATCAAATATCATCGAGGATTTTGAGTTTCTAAAGAAAAGCTTATCACAAAGATGTATTCAAGTCATTCTAGGGGTTCGGAAAGTATTTCCCACTTTGTTTTTGTAAAAAAATGACACTAAGGGGATGACATTTTGATGCATGTGTTTAGGTTTATTAAGTAAAATGTTCAGAAGTACAAACTATTTGATTGGATACAAGATCCTCAAGGAATTAATCCTTTCAATAGAGATGAAATAGAAACGAGAAGACATTATCTGGTCTATATCCATCACACATCGATTATAAAGATAAATCCTATTTATAAATACCAGAAAACATTTTATGGATCTTAAAATTGGTATATTAATAGGGTTGTATGTTGTAATTACTACTACACAGATTATTGAAATATAAGATATCGGTGATTGTCGAACATAAGACTATAACATTGTCACCCACTCAGAAAATGAAATTCACTTAGAAAGACAGTTTCATAAAATATTTCCGCTGCACAATACTACTGAAAAGTTGTTTAGTTTATATACCCAATTCGTATTCGTTGTTAAATTAGTGATGTCAATTATGTTAAGTGGACACCCAATATATTGGAAAGTAATCGCCTCTAAAAGCATGCACATCATAGCTGAAATTAAAACTAGAAGATAATAAACGGATATTATGAACTGAGAGACCAGTCTCTTGTTTCAATTGCTACACTTCGAGAACGTATGGTGAATGGAAAAACTGGTAACATGAAAAGAAGTATGAGATGGATAGTCACTGATCACGGGTATTTATATCAGTTAAATCACTGGAACTACGTCGCATATGGTAATCAACCACTGATTTATACCATCTAGTGTACCGACAACCTACGAACTCATATTACAAAATATCACAGGATTTATAGTGTACTAATATTGGTTACAACGTTAAACATTCAAGTGAAAAATATATTTAAAACAAAATAGACACTTTTCACATAATTAATCCTTTTCAGACATCCTTACGAGATGAGCATCGATTTCTTCGACCGTTAATTTCCTAAAATTAGGATAAAAATCCGCGTTAGTGGCAAATATACAAGTTAACAATTCGTTCTAAGGAATCAAGCTACTTAATAAGCGATAGTAATTTAGAAATAAACTAGATAACCAAAAAGACACAAACCATAAAAACAAAGAACCAACACAATAAATAGAGCTTCTAATGGAAAGACACGTTTAATCGTCTGAGGGTTCGATGTCGATAGATAAATAAGCAGGAACCTCTCTAAGATCTCTTCGGTGGTGTCCTCCTCTTTCGATTTTTTCAGAGCATTTTTAATGTACCAAAAAGCGTTCCACTTGGTCATTGGATCGCGGATGAAATGGAGGTGTTCGGACATAACTGATTCCGTCCTGTCGACAAAATTCTGAGAAGATAGAGGAATTAAGCTGTGTTCCATTGTCGCTAACTATCAATTCTGGGACCCCGAAACGAGCGAATAGTTGACGTACCTTTCTGACTGTATAGCTTGCAGTTAGATATTCCATGAGAAAAATTTCTGGCCACTTGCTGTGTGCGTCAAAAACCAGAAGGTAAGTTTGTCCATGAAGTGGACCAGCAAAGTCCAAGTGTATATGCTGCCATGGTGACCGTATTGTTGGCCACGATTGTAGCTCTGCTTTCCGCGGTGCTATTGTTGCTAATGCACATTTGATAGACGAACGGGATAGCTCCTTCAGTTGAGTGTCTAAATGCGACCAGTATACATAACTTCGTGCTAGTCCTTTCATGCGCTTTATTCCAGAATGTCCTGTGTGCAACTGATCAAGTACTGCTGGTTGCAGCTTCTTTGAAATTATGACACGTTCGGCAAATAACAAGCAGTCGTCAATGATCGAGAGTCTACGCTGGCAAAACTGTTAAAGGTCTGTGGAGCTGATCTTCGAGGGACACCCTTCTAGGTGGAACTTTCTAACTTCTTGTAGGACTGGGTATCGAAAGGTTTCTTCTCTGGCTTCATCTGACGACCCTGTAATGTTTCGAATGGTATCTGCCACTATACCCAATATTTCTGGGTCTATTGCTGTCAAGGCAATGATTATATCCTCTGGTTCAGGGTGTTGAACTCAAATTAATCGAGAGAGTCGGTTTGACCGACAGTATTTGTCGAGTGATACTTGATACTAAAATTATAGCTCAGAAGCATTGTTGCTTAAAGCCGAAATCTATTGGCCGTATACACAGAGATTCCTCTCTTCAAATCAAAAATTGCAATCAAAGGTTTGTGATCTGTCAGTAGAGTAAACCTACGGTCAAAGTGCATTTTATGGAATCTTTTAACAGAGATAATTATTGCAAGAGCATCCACTTCAATTTGACTGTAGTTATGTTAGCTTTGAAGCTTCATGAGTTCACTTAATCTGAGGATGAGAACAAGGCTCGGTGACCAAAGACCAGTAATCTAGCTATTGATGCGTTATAGCCCCGCTATCTAGAAGTCCAAGCTTGGTATGGAAAATATATTCTGCAAACAGCTAGAAAACGAGAGAGCCCACAAACACAATTTAAAACGTATATATATACAAACATATATAATCGATATTATCATGGGAGATTTTTAAACATTAATCAATGAGTTCATCAATTGACTGCTATTTAATCATTTAATCGATAAGTTATTCGATATGATAAAATTACAAATATGAGTTTTGGGGATATATCGCCCCCAACAAGTTACGCTGGGCTGGTGTGAGTGATCTAGCAGCATGAGCAATTGCCTTTCCTGATTTGTCCAGAAACACGTGAGTTATCACTGCATCAACTCCATGACTAGAGGCATTAGATACAACATTTCTCAAGCTAGGATCGAAGTGTGTTAAAAGAAGCTTTGAGCTGAGCAGTAATTTGACTTTATCGAAAGACGCTTGACACCCTGATGACCACTGCCAAGGTAATTCATTTAGAGGACCTCTCGCTCGATGCATTTCAGGTAATGATCTTATCTATATTCCGCTAACATGTGTCGTCTTCGAAGTATGATGGGATGAGTTTCAATGAATCCATCAACTCAGTGAGCACCGAAATAACCCATTAGTCTTTCTGAACCTTTGGACTCAAATCACTGATAAATATAGGTGTTGTTTTCACAGCTATTTGGATATCTTGCTAAGCTATTTCGTAGTTAAGAGTACCTTCAGGATCGACCAAGAAGCCTTTTAGTTTTTCTTGAAATATACTCATAACCTTTTCATTGTTAAGATAAACTCCAAAGGGGTTTTCTTTTTATAAATTCTCTGAGTCCAATAAGAGGCATGGAAATGAATGATCGCATTGGAGCATGAATAAAGTCGTTCTTGTAAAAACTATCAGGGATAAGTCTACTTCCGGTTGCGTCCAAGCTATTGGCTTTCATCACACTTCGTTGGTTGTTCAAAACCCATGAAAGATTGACTTGCGAGAAGCAGGCTGGGTTTCGTTCTGGTCGAGAATGTATCATATCATACATTCTCAATAATTCTTACTGATCGTTATAAATTTTCTATTGGAATAGTTTGACAAATTCGTTCACCTAATTCTTTATATGTTTTAATCCAAAATTTGTTTGTAGCTAAAAAGTGAAGTAAACTTATCCCGGGAATAAAAGCATCACATTTACCTTGTAAATTAATATAGTTAGTTAAAGAAAATCCTGATTAGTAAGTCTACGAATGTCGTCCCAGAGAATTCCTTGACGGGCATTGTCTGCCGACGTTGGGACTAGTGGGAAAAAGCGGAGAGGTGGTCAGTATATGACATAGTGTCGTGGTATGAAAGAAAGCTGCAAAGGATTGGCTTCTGTTAGTCCTCCACGACTCCCTGGCTGGGGTCCGAGAGATGGTGCGACACAGTGGCTAGAGATGTTATCAGATATGGCTCAGAATAGAAGCCAGTGGCGATCCTGCTGTAACCTTCTTTTACTTTCTTCATAAAAGTGGTTGTGTCTTCCTTAACTGAAAGATTTCTTCTGATTGTACCTTTCCGTTCCCCCATTTTTACCATTATTATTATTACACCACCTTACATCAATCTCTTCTTTATTATTCTCTTTTTTCCTTCCCCTTAAATTCTCATTGTTTTGTGTGGCACATATATATTTGGCGCATTCTTGTACCAATATTTATGTGTTCAAATAAATGAATAAATAATAAAGTCTAAATGTGTACCTCATAACGAGTGGTGGTGTTGGACAGAGACTCTCCAACCATGGCTGATGTCCACATAATTTATTACAGTCCATAGTTTAGTCGGTTTTGGTGTTAGTCATGTGAGATGATGTCTCTCCTAATGTTTTAATCTGGTGCTTGCTCAAAACGGCTGTAAGAGCTTAGTTGCAGTAGATAGTCATCATTATCTGTTCGCTGAGCTGGGATACCGTAAGCGTCTTTTAGTTTAGACTACTTACCTAAAATTACCCGGGACGATTACTACATTTAAGCACTAAGATTTCAGAAGGTTAGGATTTTCGTAAAACTTTTCATTTATTCGAACCGTAGTTAACGAATAGCAGATAGAGACAATGGATGGCAACAGTGTATCGAAGTTAGATCGTATGTATCAGCGTGTGGAAATAAAGCCGAATTTACGAGATAATGGTTGACATTAGAGATAAAAGAAATATTATGAAATGACGAGTGGATTTGATTATGAATAGGGTGATCTTGAGTGATAATAGAAATTTGGGCATTTTTCACTCTCCGGTTACCCATACCGTGAAGATACTTCTTGAGGTACTCAAAAAAATGAAAGTGAATCAAACGTGATATTGAAGCCCCGGGAGTGTGACTACAGAATCCAAGAAACAAATGCTTACGGTCGGTAACACATGTTTTTGCGAGTAGAGTCTAATGTTTTAATTACGTACTATAAGGGTTTAACTGCGGGGGATGGAAATCGGTGGGGCAAGGTGAGTTATGTTATCCTAAGACCGAACTGTGCAAATCCCTAACATGTTGTGAGAAGGTAGCATAGCTGTAGGTGCTGGCTGTCTGAAAGCAACACCCAGCTGCCGCCACAATTTATGTACAGTAAGCAGTATAAATCGCTTGGACTCTAAGTTGTTGTTAATGAATCACACTTTGCATAGCTGTAGGCAACTACCATTAACACTCTGGAACTCTGTAATGATTTGAGAATATTGGCTGTAACGTCAGAGTTGGATAATAATGGGATATCAGAGTCTTTTGACTTCGAAATACACCTGATACGAGACAAAAGCTTCAAATTAGATAGTAAGTCGGGCTGGTGTTGCTACAATCAATTAAAAACATAAACCTATTGAATGTGCCTAGAAACGACTGATACTGATAACAGCCTTCAAACTGACCAAGATGTAATGAAATGCTTTTCAAACTTGCTGATGCATGAGCCACTTAATACACTCCATTTATTAATCTAATGATAACCATTTAAGAAGTATTAATACCAGTTTCAGTCTTGTATGCTGCTTGCAAACTCTCGGTTCTCACGCATACACATATACTTCACGTATCGTGATCAAATGATTTAAATAAAAGCTGAGTATTTGTAGAACTATACGATAGTATTGGGTAAGTTAAATGTAAAAGGTTAACATGGGATCATGAAAACAATTTCAAATCAGAATATATACACGTGCAAACGTTTACCTGAAGATAGGATCTGCCTTTGACACGACTGCAATTTCCAATTCTGTGGCTTTAAAATCCATGGAATGAGTATGTGAAAGACAACTAATGGCTAGTTCGATAGCCTCCTCTAAAGTGTAGTTTTCTTGCTTTCGAAACTGAAAGACACGTAATATAGGACAAGCACTTAGATTAGGAGACTTTAAATGTGGAGAAAAAGTATACAAACTTAGACTTGACTATACGACCAGTCTTCTCAAAATCCCTCAAACTTTAGTCTCGTCGATCTTTCCGAAACTCCTAAAAAAGAAGCTGAATACAGGTAAGGTCATAATATCTGTAAATAACTCAAAACTTTATAGCTTAACATCTCAAACAAGTATTTGCCAAGAAATCTTGAGAGTGACGTACCACGACTGTAACTGGCTGGCATCAGCAATAAAACTCGAAATAAAGCCCTGGTCGCTAATTTCGATTCGATTGTTAACCAATAAACACCAGCAGACGGACAGTTTTCACGCGCTTGGATTGACACAGCAATTATTCGAGGGCTTATAATATTATGGTAAGAAATTATGTTCGTGCTACTGAATACTAAATAAACTATGAATTTTTGGTAGGACTCTAATTTATGGACGAGCCAATCAGAAGCGTCTAAGGAATTTCAAGGTCATGGCGCTAAGTTCAGTGCGAGATGCTCACATTCGATCGTTTTACAGCAGATTTTAAAGAATAGGTGATCGTTGAGAGACTACAGCAGATGGGACTATTAGGAAGTTCCTGTGTCTGTGACTGCGGCAATTAAATGACCGCAGCACGATGTGCAGACTGCCGCGATGACACTGTATTTCGTTGTACTATATGTTGTAGAAAAAAATCTGCTCGAACTGTCACTTTTTTACCCGGTCACGGCTAAGGCTAAGACAAACCATGATAATCGTTGCAAATTGGATCATAAAGTCTCCAGTAACATTAGCTGCGGTTATACCGATTTTTGGAAAGCGTATAGATGCCTCTCCAGACTTGGTTTTGTGCATTATGTTGTGGTGTACAAACGTCTTTTCTTTGATCCAACGACGGGGGGTCCATACAAACAACATTGAGGGCATGTGGTCTAGGCTGAAGTATTCTTTAAAACCCTACCACGGCTCCAGAGGACGATTATTATAGAGTCATATGGACGAGTTCTTATACCGCGTGCACTATGATTTCAAAACTTCTGAACCTATATCAAACCTCAACAAGCTCTCAAATAATGTAAAAGAAGAATATCCATTGTAATTCATCACTCTTTTATAATATATTTTTACTTTATACTAACTCTCTTCTGATTGGCTAATGTCCTCAAGGTCCCTTAAAAATTCGTTCAAAGGTCGTCCATAAATTAGAGTTTCACCGAATTTTTTTAATATCCTGTGGCACTGATCTGTATGATTCACGTGGCTTAGGTGGATGAAACATACTCATACGTGCCTCAAAATAGTACAAAATAAATAACAAACTTACGACAATTAAGAGTATCTAATATATTTTTGTATACTTGGAGCAAAAGCTGGTTAGACACGCTTAGTGGGTGGTTTCATGCCGATTTATACGATCTACATGTACTTAGCAAGTCGTTATTGCGAGATGATGAACGAAAACAGTCGTCTTTAACAATAAAGACTTAATCTACTTAACATCTAACATGAAATATAAGTTTGGAAGGTTGTCACACTAAATATATGAACCACAGGGATATTGACCTGTAGAAAATGGGTATACCTCATTTTCCAAATGACGCATAGCTTCGGTTTGCTTGTCACCAACAGCGACCGCTCGATGTCCAGCAACAAATCCACTAGGATCAGATTTGTATAGTTGAGGTTTCCCGAGTTCTTCATCATAAGAAATAGCCAACATGGCACAACCAAGTGGTCTCATTTCGGCGGATTGTGTATATACTTGGTTGATTTCACCGATTCTGTGTAACAGCACGTCACAGGGGACCTCATAACTGCAAGCGCCTCGATGTTAACGATAAAAAAGTAAGATTACAAACCCAAACTTGTGTTTGAATGTTGCAGCCTCATATCTGGCTCGTTGTACTTGGGCGCGACAATCTGGTGCCATACCAGTCATGATGCACCCAGTAGAATCTGTAAGACGAAATATGCGTGTCATAGACCTTCGGTCGATTAATTTATCTGGAAGCTTCAGTTGTGCAGCAACAACCGCGCAGTCGTTGCCGCGCACACCCACGGATAAGTGACCATCAAGACTGATAGCCTTAAAAGTGTATTCTACTTGATAAAGTCGCCCCTCGGGTGAGAAAATTGTCATAAAGCGATCAAAACCACTCGGAGTTGAGGCACTCATCATGTAATCTATGACCACACAAACCTCTCGGACTAGGCGCCACTCTCCTGTACAATGAGGTCATTACAAATTTGATCATTATAGCGCTGTAAAAAGCATACACTATTAAGTTATATTTTCGTTTACCTGACTCCAATGATCTCCCTTCTGTATTGTTTATAACTGCTATAAATTTCGCTCATTAATAAACGTGACTGTATCAGATATTATAGCTGCGTCTGGCCAAAATTTTCATTGATCAATTTCTGGTTGGAAGTTATTTGTGATCACAGGGTCTATGTTATTATTGTAAATGGTATCCTTTTGGTTTGCTCACCCCCTTTGAACTCTTTAGCAGACGGAGTTCAAGCTGCTTGTTGAGAAAGGTGTTCTGTCGAATGACATAACGGTCACATAGATTATAAGCGATTGACAACGCTTTTGTCTTTAATGCCTTTTCAAGAGAGGGTCACAAAGCCTTTCGAATCATCATTCAGGGATGAAGCGCTTCGAAGATGTATTCAGAAAATTGTCGGCATGTCAAGATTTTTATCATCTGAGCCATCTAGTTGTTGTAAGAAATGCTCTGTACCGTGTAAATAAACGTGATCTGTTGAAGATAGCTGATTGAGTACCCACATCCAGAGGTGTGTCCACCAATACCTGTGGGGGTGAATAAATCCCCAAAGCAAACAGTTCTGTGAATCTTCGGCACTAATTTTGATTTCATTAGCTTTACTGGACACATCCTAGTTGACGACGCTCGGTCACTCGTCTGCACAAACTAACGAGAGGGTACGTCGTGCTATGCATCCCTTGCAACTGCTGGACAGCTTAGACCAACATATCCACAACTTGTCAAATATGCCCTCGAACTCTATTTCTGACTTCTGGTTTGACTGTATTTGGATCCTTGTTCATAAAGTTGTTACTGACAAAGCGTTGCTATGAATGTCCATACCATATTTTCACTAACGAGGTCAGAATCAGTGTTAATGACTTGCTAAGCTTTTAATTTCAAGAGTTTATCCACCACTACAGCTCACATCCACCTAGTGAGATAGTGTAGAACCTGGACCGTGACCGGCCAGAAATAATAATTCAGTGAGATTGTCGTCGACCAACACCTTTCTGATGTAATCCAACGTCCGGAACCGTCTGTTCTTCTTTCCCCACTCTGTGATAAAGTGTGTAAAGTTAAAAGGTCTGTTTTTCGTATCTGTCTTCTATTATACACCTTTCTCAGTTGTCCTAGTAAAGATAGAGATGAAAGTGCGAGTTCGTGTCGAATACAGTTGTGTTTGTTTATAATCAAATGTCGTATAGGTCTTGATCTTACCAAAAAACATTTCATTCAATCCCCTGTAATTGCATGCTTTAAAGGCAACGTGACAAAATACTCCCTGGACCCAGGCCAAGAACTTCCTTGATGTCGACTACCCATACACAATAATCCGTCTGATATCAAAATATTCAACAGTAGTGATGGGGAGTTCATTAACTTCATTTTAATACTTGTTTCAGTCTATATAAACATTTAAATCCAAAACAACCATCAAGCTTATAGCAGAACAGTCTTGCTGGCCTGGTATGAATAAAGACGTAAGGGAGTGGGCATGCTCCTTTGTAAGCTGCCAAAAATCTAACGTTATCAGACACGACAAATGTCCCTTAGGCTCTTTCAAAACTCCCGACGCCCGTTTCGATCATGTTCATCTGGATTTAGTAGGACCTTTACCAAATTCAAATGGATACTCTTATCTCTTAATCTGCGTAGACCGTTTCACTCGATGGCCAGGAGCAGTACCTATCAAAGACATTACTGTTGAAACAGTGGCTCGCGCCTTCGTCGAACGATGGGTAGCAAACTTCGGCTGCCCTCCAACTATTCATACAGACCGCGGACAACAGTTCGAATCTGAACTTTTCCGTTGTCTGGCCGCACTATTAGGAATCATTCACTTCCGAACGACCGCCTACCACCCACAAGCAAACGGTTAGTAGAACGCTTTCACCGACAACTAAAAGCTTCACTATCAGCTGCAAACGTTTCACAGTGGACCGACGCTCTTCCACTCGTCTTACTAGGTATCCACAATGCAGTGAAAGCTGACATTGGATACACTGCGGCTCAACTCGTTTATGGAACGACACTTCGACTTCTAGGAGAATTCATGGATCATTCATCTTCTTCAATGAACATAGATCTACCATTTTACACGAGCAGGCTTACAAACGCAGTGCGTTCAGTTAAACCGGTTTCCACTCGACCGCAATCAACTGGTGTTTTCGTTCAATCTGACTTACGATATAGTACACACGTTTTCGTGGGAAGTTACAGGCGTAAGTAAGTTCAGGATTTCGAGTTAGTGCTAAGTCCGTGATACGGTTTGGTAACTTCCGTAGTGTATGTCCTATCCATTGCAATTATCTTTTCCTAATTTTCTCTTCAGCTGGAAGCTGGTTTGTTCTCTCCCACAGTAGGCTGTTGCTGATGGTATCCGGTCAACGGACATTGAGTTTCTTGTGTAGACAACTACTTATAAATACTTGTACCTTCTTGATGACTTAGCACCTTCTGACACATTGAAATTAGTGCTTCTTTCACCACATTCCGATTGTCCTCCATAGTAGTTTTTTCTACTTTGAGTAGACCTTGTAAGGCTTGGAACCTGTTGTTGGTAGCGAACCTAAATTCATTGAGTTTGCCAGTTTCTCCAAGGAAGGCTGTGTTGAACTTTTGTAGTGCTGTTTGTCCAGTTGTCCAACCTCTCCTTAGCTTCAGTTTCATTTTGGTAACCACCGGGTGGTGACTTGAAGCTATATCAGATAAACTCCTGGTTCACACGTCTTCTGTTGACCTTATGAATATTTTATTGATACAAATGTGATTGATCTGGTTCTCCGTGGTGTGATCCAGTGAGACCCATGTAGCTTTGTGTTTGCGTTTGTGTAGGAACATTGTGCAACCTGTAAATATTTTGTTGAATGTACATAAATTTGGAAATCGCTCGCCACTTTCGTCTCTTTCCCCTATTCCATGTCATTCCATGCTATCTTCATATCTGGCATTTAGGTCTCCCATCAGGGTGGTGAGGTTCTTTACTGGACACTGTGCTATGATTGATTACAACATCGAATAGAACCTATCTTTAGAGTGCACAACACGGGATAACATTCATTCTGATTCATTTCTTCTTTGTTTTGAAGGATGCTTTGACGATCTCAGAATCATGTGACGCCCATCGTATTGATGCATTTCGTGCCTCTTTGGACCGAGTAAAGAACAACTCTCTTCGTGACCGAAGTACGGCGGCATCTCCCCCGTATCTAGCTTTTGCTGTTCAGCCTGGGTCTAATTGGTTTCACTGATTCCAAGACTCGCCAAGTCGTATCTCTTCATTTCCGTTGCTATTTGACTGGTACTCCTGATCCTCCACGTTATCCTATATTTTTAATTAATTGTTGCTGTGGTTCTAAGAAGGAGCATCGGTGTCGTAACTTTTGATAAATATTGTCTTTCGTCATGAGGCGTCATAATTCTTCCTTCAACTGGGAGAGCAGAGTTTCAGTGGTTTAAATTGTTTGCTCTGGTTTACGTATTTTTAGCAAAGCTTTTTCTGTGGGATGGGGTTACCGACCCCGTGCTAACCCTCTTACTTTAGCAGGGCTTTAGACCTGCAGTAACTCTAAAAGAGCTGCATATCGACAATGAAAGAGCGCAACACAGAGGTATTTTTCAGTTGATAGACAAAACATACGATACATATGGCTATATGTCACTAGGAGTTTTATGAAATAAATAGGTCTCCCAAAAGTACACAAACTACCAGGTTAAACTAGCCTGCAGGTGCGCCACTGACACCAGGCACTTGAAATATGAAATGACGCCACTAACCTTCTGGCTGGACAATACTTTCGCACATTTCAACCGACCCGCACTAAATGTATTGATGGAAATTTATCTGCAACTGCACAGGACTTTCCGAAGTGAATCTGAGCGCTGAATTGACGTATCGGGAACTGAAGCACCAAAGAAAGACACTACTACTGGTCCGGATATAGTTCACTCGGCTATACTGAGGGGAGCAGCTTCAATCCTGGCAACATAGCTTAGCGTGGTGCTCTCATACTCGCTAGGCCGAGGTACATTACCGGATATTTGGAAATTGGCTCACATCACACCAATCTTCAAAGGAGGTCGACGCAGCGAACCTTCAAGGTAACGACCGGTGGTCCTTCTCCCTATACCTTCAAAAATCGTGGAGCTCCTGATATACGATGGCATAAATGACTACTTAATGTCCTTGAATTTCTTCTCACTCCAACAGCACGCTTTCAAAAAAGGTTACTCTTGTATAGCTGTAGTGGCATTGGACCATAACTACACAATCGTCAAAGCTGAATACGAGATTACTTGTAAAATAGATATCCAATATTTTAATGCGGAGAAATACCTAACGATGGAGAAGGCGCGAATAAGGAATTGAATGAATTGGAGTCTATCGAATGGCATGGCTCTGCCATGCAGACGTGGTTCTTGTTGAATATTACCTTATATTTTTTACTCATATTAAATATATTGTTCTTTCTCTAGCCTAAGCTTGCTCTTCATCATGTATTGGTAGTTGTTACGATACAATGAGTTGGTGTAGACGATGATGTGACTTGCAAGTAAGATCTTATAGATTAGGCAGTTATATCATGACAAATCTACCATTTTAGGATTAGGTCTATTATTAGAGCAGTACTAATATCATAGTAGACCATAATTCTACATAGCCAACCTTCTCACTGCGGTGGATAGATGGACAAACATCCGTGATCGCAAGAGGAAAGTTGATATCATTTACATTGATTTCTCAAAAGCTTTTAATAGAGTTAACCATATATGTCTTATCAACAAGCTCAAACGATTGGGTACCAGACCACCTCTAATTGATTGGCTCACTTCATATCTAAAAAATTGACATTTTATGGTCAGGGCTAACTTCGCCTTCTATCAGGCTATGGAATGTCTTGTGGGATCCCACAATGTTCAGTACTAGGACCTCTTCTTCTCTTGATTTATATAAATGATCCTCCACAACAGGTATCGCCTGAGTTATTACTTTTTGCTGATGATGTGAAACTGTGGAGAGAGATACGCAGCGAAGAGGATATACTGGCACTTCAGGAGGATCTGATTCGACTTCAAAGTTGGGCAGATGACAATGGACTCATCCTTAACACTTCAAAGTGTAAAGTAATCCATCTGATACATGTTGCAAACTACAGTTGCAACTTTGGAAAATCCTCTCTAGAAGTGTCCCAAGTTGAAATATATTTAGGAATTCTGGTACCCTACGATCTGTAGTCTTACGCAAACTGTAACTAAAATGCCTTGCGAGCAAAAATTGTACTGTTTACATTGGAGCGCATGTTTGGCCAGTTCGACGTAAGAACTTTCCATATAATTTTTAACAGTTTTATTCGTCCTTATTTAGAGTATGGAAACATAGTATTTCCTCCTTCACTCGAAAAGGATAAGGACACTTTGAAGTGTATCCAATGTCGAGACACGAAATCAGTTCCGTGACTCAAAATCAAGCCTCATGAAGAGTACCTCCATTCACTAAAATTTTACCCATTACAGTGTAGTTATCTTAGAAGTGACCTTCTAATGGCTTACGTATCCTTTACACTTTTAGACATTCCCTTAAACACCTACTTAGATTTAGATTCAACATAAAACTAAGGAGTCACACACAGAAAATGGAGATACGACAAAGCAGAACGGACTGTAGACACAATTCCTACTTCCCAAGAGTTGTCAAATTCTGGAATTCGCTGTCGGCCGGGCTAGTCCAAGTGACTTTCCAGGGGTCCTATAAGAGGAAGTTTGACCTATTCTTAAGGACTATGGATAATATCTTACTATGATTTATCAATTTCTTTTTCCTCTATTAACGTTAATATGCTAAGGTTCCTGCCTGTATCCACTGCTATTAGACACAGAAGCCCGTTAAGCAAAAGCTTCTTTTATTCCGTCCACAACCATTTGAATAATTTGAATGCAGTGAGTTGGGTCTTCTCAAGGTTACAGGAACAAAAAGGCGGCAATTTCAGTTACTAACCAGCTGTCGTAGGGTGTCATACAGTTGATGAATTAGATTATGTGCTTGGTCATTCCTCAATGAACGTTAATGACCAGTCAAGTCAAACAGGCAGTTTGGTTTTCTCAACAAATTTCAATTCACTCAATGTCAACAATAAACAAAATTCCACATAGGTATAACGAGGCCTCATTATTCAGGATTTATTTCATCTGAAATGAGTGTAAATGTTGGATCACTTCATCGTCTTAGAGATAGCAGTCTCTTCCCATGCATTGTGGGAGTAACGAAGAATGAAATACTATGGAGGTCTTTAAGTGGATTAGGAGTAGGAACAGTAATAAAACAGAGTATGCCATATTAAATTATTACTTGTTTCTAGTAAGCTTTAAGAATATTATCGGAACCACTTCCCTGTCAGATGTTAATGGTGTGAGGTGGCTCACTGATTTGTCTGGGTCGTTCCAGAAGAAAGAGGCTAGTACTTCCTGTGGATTTACTATTTGGAGCATCATGCAAACAAAAAAGTATAGTTGGGGAGTTCGTTGCTCCACATTTTACTGTATATGCGACCAACAGGTGTCTGACTGGGTGGATTTTTTAAATAGCAGTGTATCGAAGACAAGTGAGTTAATATTGGATCGTTTCAAACTTAAAATCTGTTTTTCCACAACAAAGTTAATTTGCTTCTGAACATTAATAGCTTAGTATTCACATTTAATTTGCGTTTGTTTGTAAGGGAGTTAGGATCAACTTTAGACCTACAGTTGTTACATAATCACTTGGCTGCAACTAAAAGACAATTACTTGTCATGTACAGAAAATTGCTTGGCTTTCTGAAAAAAATTGGTATTAACCTCAGTAGTATTTTGTCCTCGATTAAGCATAACCTTAGAAAGTTTTTTAGGGTATGGATATAGAAAGTTTACGTGGGGTGCTTTGGTTAAATAATGAACCTAAAACTTTAGATACTTGTCACTTTTTGGAGATGGATATTCATCAGTTACTTAATTAAGGTAAGCAGGTTCCGAAGTTTACGAGCTACATTTTGATCATTATTCTTCGTAATTCTTTCATAAGGTTTGTGAATTATTTTGAAAATGAGGTGACTCTCGTCCCACCTTTCACTCACTAAGTAAACCGAAGTGTATGAGAAAATTTTAAGTCTTACAGAAGTTATTATGGATGTAAGGTATCTAGACCCTCCATTTTCGTGATATCTTGGATACATAGTAGATAAGTGTGTATACTTTTCACTGGTTATGCTGTTATCTTTAAATCCAACTTAGCAGAATGTTTTGTCGGAATGATATGTTTCGCCAATTTGATAAAAGCAATCTTTAGGCTTATTATGTCGTTGACTAAAGTGCAGTATATGTTTCTAGTAGATACTAGAGCACATGGACTCATTTAACTAGTTTTTAACTTTAATATGATGAAGAAGCATGGTAATTAGGCTGTCCTATCATATAAGTCTAATCAGCTGAAGCAATTTCACTCAAAGAGAGTTCGCTATTTTTAAGTAGCAATATATTTATGGATATTAACTTATCCAACTAAGTTCGTTTGTTAGAGTATAAGTGGTCAAGTACTCATGCCCGTTCGGTTTGCTTTTCCTCAGTTTTTAATTTAGTATATGACAACAGTCTTAATCATATACTGTTAGCTTACGATGTGCCCTTTATATATGCATTCAATTTTCTATTCACTGAATTCAATGGTCTAAGTCAATTGTCGTTCATTGGTCAGTCAGTATTTCATTTTAGCGACTAATTGTCATCCTATAAATCTTGGATGCACTGCTTGACGAAAAGATGGACTTAGTAATGTATAAAATTATTAGTCGTATTGTTGAATATGTATGATCTTACATCTCATACTAGTTGAATTGCAATCAATCAAACGTTGGTTCACATAATGGTCAAATATCAACTAATTGACTTGTCGTAATACATGCACATGATAAAATGTCCATCTGCAGAGATGCTGCCTTCTCACAAGAAAGGAAGGGGTTAGAAAAGGTCGACCCTAAAAATGTCACACCTCACGGATTTCCGTCTCCAGAGATAAGGCCCTTTGAAGAACAGAGCTAACACATTGAAAACCTCCCACAAAAAGGCCGAGTGCGACCGGCCTCAAGCAGTTGTCCCTTGAGCTCTGCGGTCACGCTCTCAGATCGTTAAGGCCAACACTAGTCCGACTTCCTTCTCAGGTTCTTCAAGAAATACCCTTCCACGGTGTGGGCAGCCGGAAAGTGATATCATCCCTCGTACTCGTAACAGCACACGAGAACAAGTTGGTCACATTTAAATCCTTCCTACACCTCCTAATAACTCTCTTATCTCTACGACTAATCCTTCTCACGTCCCTTTATCACCTCACACCGCTAGTGCAAACGATTCGAGTACGCGGAACGTTATTCCTGGTCTCCTGAAACCACGCTCTAAACTACACGTAGGAGCTTTCAACGTCCGAACACTGTGTCAAATAGGACAACAGGCTTCCTTAGCTAGGACTTTAGAATTTCGCACCATTGATGCGTGCTGCGTCTCCGAAACGCTCATACGAAATCCGAGTAGTGTCATTCATTTGACCTCACCAAGTAACGAACCAACTCGATTTACGCTTCGTGTATCTGGAAGCCTTAATGCTGCTTCCCGTGGCCTCGCTGGCGTAGGTATAGCATTGAGTCCTAGGGCAGAACTAGCTGTCTTAGACTGAATCCCAGTAGAAAGTCGTTTGTGCGCCTTACGACTAAACAGAATAGTAAGGACTCTGAAAGATAGGGAAACTCGTCGTTGCCTCTTCGCCGTCTCTGTCTACTCTCCCACTGACTGCAGCTCAGACTATGTTAAAGATGAGTTTTACAGAAAGCTTTCCGACCTCTGAAAAGCTAGGCGCTCTGATGTAGTAATAGCGGCCAGTGACTTTAATGCTCAAGTGGGTAAACTAAGCGAATGGGAAAGACCCCTGGGTGGATCTTATGGTATCGTGGCTTAAAGAACAGATAATAGTGGTCGTCTGTTGCAGCTAAGCTCAGATAACCGCCTGTCTCTTGCAAACACTAACTTTAAGCATAAGGGAAAACATCTTTTGACATGGTGACCCCCGAATTCGTCCCAACGTTGGACCCAAGTAGATCACATCGCTATCAGCCACCGATGGAGGGGCTCGATAGAAGACTGTTGCTCATTCTGGAGCACATGCCTAGATTCAGATCATGCTCTAGTGCGAGTGCGTATTTGTCTGCATCTTACTGGACGTAGGAAAGACGCTGCAAGTAAACCTCTTAGGGGCCTACTTAATGATAGTCAAGCTTGAAGTATATTTGAGGAACAACTAGAAAGACAGTTAGGTAGCCATGTAGGTGATGCCCATACCGAGGCATCGCGGAATGATATCCGAAAATATATGGAAGCAGCAGTGATGTCTGCAGGTACGGTAAACCACAAGGTTAGGGAGAAACACTGGATCTCATCAGCATCTACCGCACTGGTAGATGCTTGAAAACTCATTCCATCTGGCTCTGAACATGACGAAGAGCGGAGTCAGCTTAAGCGCAAGCTGACAAGAAACCTACACAATGATCGCGAACAGTGGTGGGTAGAGAAAGCAAGAGAGATGGAAAAGGCAGCGGCAATAGGTAATAGCAGACAATTGTTCAGACTCGTTAAGGAAACCGGAATTAGGAACCCGACCGTTAGCGAAACAATCTCAGAGAAAGATGGACATATTATTCATTCTCAATCCAGGAGATTGGATCGATGGGCATAACACTTTAGGGATCAGTTCAACTGGCCTTCAGCCACACTTCGGTTTCCCACGATCTCTAGTCAACCTGAATGGCAAGTTAGTGTAGGTCCTCCGAGTCTTTACGAAGTTGAAAAAGCCATAGGAAACCTGAAACGAGGGAGAGCAGCAGGCCCTGACAGGTTTACTCCTGAGATTTTTAAGGATGGTGGTCCAGTATTAGCAGTGAAATTAACTGAGGTCTTAGGTAGAATTTGGGGACTGGACGTAATCCCATCTGACTGGTCTCAATCACTAATTGTACTAGTCTATAAGAAAGGACAAAGTCTTCTTGTGACAATCACAGAGGAATCAGTGTGACTAATATAGTGTCTAAAATATTAGCTTCAATAATACTTCGATGTCTAACCAAAGCTCGTGAAGAACAGACTAGAGAAAACCAGTCTGGTTTTCGACCTGGACATGGCTGTATAGACCAAATACTGACACTACGTCAGGTTCTAGAACACAGACATACGTTCAGACGCCCCACAATGGTAGTATTCCTCGACCTTAAAGCAGCAGTCGACTCTGTCGATCGTAAGGTTCTATGGCAGTGTTTGTCACTGAAAGGAGTACCTCAGACGTACATTAACCTTATGCAGGCTCTCTACTCGAACACAACTGGTAGAGTGAGAGCTTATGGCGAACTGTCATCAAAATTGATTACCTCAAGTGGTGTTCGTCAGGGCTGTCCACTCTCCCCATTCTTGTTCAACTTTGTGATCGACGTACTTTTAGAGATAACACTTTCCTCATCTAAATTTCCAGGGGTTGAACTTCTACCGGGAGGTTCACTTGTTGACTTAGAATATGCTGATGACAGTTTTATTTGGTGAAAACGCTGACAAAATGCAGAGTCTTCTGACCACTCTAAGCAACAATGCAAAATGTTGCTTCAGGATTGGGTTGCATCGAAACCCCAACTAATGATAGGGAGTGAAGTAATTGAGCGTGTCGATAGCTTCACTTATATTGGAAGTCTCATCAGCCCTTGTGATCTGGTGTGTGACGAAATCTCAGCACGGATACAGAAGAGTCGACTAGCTTTTGCCAACTTGCGTCATTTATGGAGTAGGCGAGATATCCGTCTATCAACCAAAGGACGTGTTTACTGTGCTGCAGTTCGTTCCATCCTACTTTATGGCAGTGAAACGTGGCCGGTAAGAGTAGAGGATATCCGTAGGTTACTAGTATTTGATCATAGATTTCTTCGAAACATTGCTCGTATATCCTGGGACCATCAAGTAAGTAACTCAGTTGTTAGGAAACGGGTACTAGGTAAGGATGGCAAATCAGTTGACGAAGTAGTGAAACTTCACCAGTTGAGATGGCTGGGACATGTGTTACGTATGCCCAACCACTGACTGCCTCGAAGTGCGATGTTTTCTGGTGCAGGAGTAGGTTGGAAGAAATGTAGGGCCAGCCAGACCAAAACATGGCTCAAATCCATGAAGTCACTGACAAGTGGACTGAGCCATGTTGGTAGGTGTAGACTATCTGGTTGGGATCTGCGAGATGATAGCAACCGATTTTTAGAGACCTTGAATGACATGGCTCAAAATCGTTTGCAATGGCGCAGGTGCATCCACTCTTTGTGTTCTCCCAAATTCTAATCTTCTGGATTATTCATGTCCTTTATTTTCTTTCCAAGTTTATTTCACTGTATTATACTCCTTGAATAACATCTTCAAACCCTAATGTTTCCGATTACTGCTTATACTCTTACTACCTCTACCACTACGGGATTTGAATCGACAACTGCATCTCTGTGCTAATGTGGTATGGCAACTCGGATTGATGTTCGTACGTACGAAGTTCTACGTTGTTACTGAATGACTGACTGGATGCGCTAATAAATAAAACTTCTTTTAATGCAGATCCTTCACGTCCACGCAATTTGTTGGTTTTCATCAATCCTTTAAGCGGAGCAAAGAAAGCACAGCAAATATATACTCACCAAGTAGCACCATTATTTTATCTAGCCAACATTCAAACGAAAGTTATTGGTGAGTTTATATTAGTGGTATTTACGTTGATTTTTTAGAAATTTGCTTTGTATCATTGTCACCTATGTTATTTGTTGTATACTTAGGAAGGATATCGTTTCTTAGCAATTTATTTGTCTGTTAGGTCCCATTTTGGTCGGGTTTCTCATATTTTCCACTATCGTTTCAACTAACCCATCTCATCTACCGAATACAAGCTTATTTACTCAACTTCAACCTTACACTTTTTGTTCAATAACTAGTAATACTTTCTGGATGCTTAGACTAAAGTAGATGAGGCACCATTCAACTTTGCGAAATTTTGTTTGAAACCCAAGTGGATCAGCTACTAAGCCATTTATTCTAATTGATTGCCTTTTAATGATTTTTAAGGTATCTTTCATTTTTATAAGTGTCAAATCTCGACGTATTATTAATAATTTCAGATACCGAAATGCCGACGTATCATCTATACTCGCACGTCATTAACATGTTTTATAGGTGGTACGTGGGCCCCCAAATGCCCTGGTACGGCCGAGAGTGGGGAGAGTCCGCTCTCCCTCTCGAAATGCTATCACATGGCCACGCGTATATAGCCTCTGCCAGGGAAGTCCTACTTACTGCCTTCTCGTGGCGAGGGTCTTGTTTACAAAAACGAGAGAACGAAAAGCGAATGTCCGGCGCTTTAACCGGATTCCAAACCAATGGTGCACATGGGCTCCAGTATCCTGCGGGAACGAATGGCGTATGAACCAATTGTTGGTCACCAGCTTCCATGGGACTGCATCTCCTTACGATGCTCCACTGCCTTGTGGATCAGACCTTTAGGTCGAAGGCTCGGGGAGTGGCTCCCTAAGAAAACCATCTGCTTTGGTTTGGGCACACGGGTAGTATCACAGCCCTCACACATATCGAATGAGATTTGTGTGGCGCATATGTATTTGTTGCCTTCTTGTACCAATATCTATGTGTTAAAATAAATAAATAAACGTAGTAGGGATTATTCTTTACATCTTTCATGTTCCTAATAGTGGACTTTCTGTTGGGGAATGCAGATAGGTTTAATCGAATATTATTCAGGTGACCACAGAATAGTATATAGTCGCCTAATACACTTGGTATTGATACTATACCTTAAACTGCTAACAAATGGAGACTGACCTTCGAATTCTTAGGGATTCAATGGGTAAATTCTACACGGTTAATATTTGCTTATTGCTGCAAAGCAGGCAATCACACTTGATCCTTGAATTTTCCTTTAACATAACATGCTAAGGACCGTACGGTTATGGTTATTGAGTTTTGTTGTTCCCATATATAGTGGGTATGTAGATTGAAAACTACAATTTGTCTGTACACTTTTCTGTCAGTCAGTCAAACTTAACATAGAATCTGGCACACATGTACGTCGGTTCAGCAAGATGAATTTGTCAGGGCGAATTCCAGACTAGTAGAGGTAGTAACAGTATTGATGATAATAGAACAGATCAAGCATTCAAGATAATTCGAGAAAATGTAAATTAGTGAGCTTCTAAGAAAACTTGTGAAGAATCCAGAAACTTAAAATCTAGAGGAAGATAAAAAGTGAATACAACTCCGCCCTTGTCAGTGATTCTGAGCCATGTCATTCAAAGGCTTCAGCCACTGGTCACAATACTCATTCAGACTCCAACCAGGTAGTCTGCATCTACCTACATGGACCAGTCAGCAGTCGATCTTCATGGGATGATCTCACTTTTTAGTTCGGCTGTCCTTAGTTTCCTTCCAATTTACTCCTACATCAGCTATCAACGTGAATCGAGGTAGTCGGTAGGTGCATACACATAATATATATCTTAACCATCTCGATCGGTAAAGATTCACAACCTTGTCAATTGATTTCTGTACTTAGTACTCAATGTTTAACCTTAAAATATCTAACTCGATGGTTCCATAATAAACGAGCAATGGCTCGAAGATACATGATCAAATACTAGTAACCTACGAATGTCCTCTCTTTAAATTAGATCGTCATCAGGCTTTACTCTAATATACATGAATATTTATACGGAAATGTTATACCAATCAAGGCTATATGGGTCAGTAATCACAATGAAATAGAATAGGTCACCACACATAATAAATAAAAATACAAGTTGATAGTAGGAAGACAGGTGTACTGATAGTAGTAAGAATAATAAAATACGATAACAAAAGTCTTATCAATAGTTAAACGTTAGAAATAGAAGGTCAAACGTGGGTAAATAGACTTGGAATAGTCAACACAAAACATTAAAAGTCTTCCTACTATCAACTTGTATTTTTACTTATTATATGTGGTGACTTATTCTATTTCATTGTGATTATTGACCCATATAGCCTTGATTGGTTTAACGTTTTCGTATAAATATTCATGTATATTAGAGTAAAGCCTGATGACGATCTAATTGAAAACGATTGTTCGCTCATATGTGTTGTTCTAATTTTCACAATGGGAATCTTTAATACTCTCTTTAAATGCCAAGTTTTTAAAGAAGGCTCCATTTTTTTTTCTTGAGAGGTTCCCACGTTTATCATCTTATATCAGAACAAATTGCAGACCACGTGTTCGCTACTTATTTTATCTGACAGAATTTCTGGATTATTCAAAACAGTTCATAGGTCATTTCAGTCTACCTATATTTAACAAAGTTATTTTCTTTTCGCTTCGTAATTTTCTAAAATGAAGTATTTTCCTAGTTAGTGGATCTCTATGAAAAGAAAGGTTAGAAATTAGATAGATAAATATATTTCCTCGATAACAGGTTTGCATTTAAGTTATATTGAACGTTTATTATTGTTGTGGCTTTTTCCGATTATACAGCTACGACATCTCGGGATCATGCGACAGATTATCTCATTGAAAACTCATTGGACTCTTATGATGGGTAAGTTTCTTCTCTAGTTTCACTTATTAAAAACTTTATCAACCAGAGTGATATATATAACGATTTGGTTTAATTTTTTACAATTCAGTAGTAATTTGTTTATTTCCTAAAGTTATTTGTTCGTTGAAGTCAACCACTTAATCACTATGACAACACGTTTTGTCTCAGGATGTTAAGTTCATTGGCCAAACATACGTACTTTTATTGGAGTTATCAAGAGAATTGTTTTAATATCAGTACAGTAGGTTCAATAACTATTGGAATCTTCCTTTATTCGCAGCAGATATCTGTCTATAGCTAAAGATTGGGGATTTTAAACGCAAAATTATCAATAACAAGGTTAAAAATTCTCACACTTATTGCCTTCTAACATATCTAACTTGTCTTGTGAAAAGATAGTTAGGTCATAAATTCTTAATCATTCAAAGAATGTTCTTAAAACATCGTATCATCTATTTAATTCAGTACTTATGTTTCTTTAATTGGTCGCTATCGCAAATATGACTGGCTTAGGTCAGTGATACTCCTAAATGATATTTAGTATATTATGTCACCCAAGTGTAAATTCTCTAACACAAACAACACCATAGGGTCATGTAACACTGTTAGTAATTTTCTTAGTGGTTTGTCGATGTATGCTTTGCAAATAACTCTGTCCTTTAGTTTTGGGTTCTCATACTGTTTATCAAGTGCTAATTGTCCTTTCTAAACATCTGTAAGCAATACTATCGATGAGGTACTGTGATTCTATCCCAACAATCGGTCCAAAATTTCATCTTCCTAAATGCGTTGTCATGTTCATTCCATATAGTTTATTAATTCCATGTAACTACTTATTCACGTTCGTCTTATTATTTTGTTATGACTGAATGGATCTGATAATGCACTGCAACAATTGAGATGATCTAGCTGATAGGTTGCCAATGAGATCCGATTCCCGATTCCTAACTGAGTAGATTTCAGAAGTTATAACTACTAACTGACTGAACAAGCACAATCATTTTAAAGTAATGTTTAAAAATTGTTATAATTAGTTATGTTGGACAATGAAGTAGAATTTAGTATTGATGATTACTAATCGTAATCTACAGCATACAAGTCAGGGTTTGTACTTTGACTGTACGTAACTCATTTAATGGATTAAAATATGTGATTCCCTTTTATTTACCTATCAGTTAAGTATAAAGTTTATTTTCAAATTGTTAATTAGTTCTCTGGTTCTCTAGATCTAATTTTTTGATTGTTGTTCGTTCATTATATCTTGCTTTCTTTCCATGTAACTCTTCAGAGTAATTTGTGTCGGTGGCGATGGATTTTTAGCAGAAGCTGTTCAAGGTTTATTGTTACACGAAAGACGCAAGTTCAGTCTACCGTTATTTTCGGGACATAAACCTGGAGAAATTGAATTAAAACCAACAATTCGACTTGGAGTTATTCCGGCAGGTTAGTTACGGAAAAACAAAACAAAGGCATTTGTAGTTTGATTGAGGTTTGTAAAGAATGAATTCATTTCTGAAGATGGTCTTCGTCATGGACTATAACTTTTAAATTTCTTCGATAATTCATAAGTGTGTTTTATCATTTCGATTTCCGAAACTATTGCAGTGTTTTAGTTCACTCACTTATTCTCTTGTACATCTTTTCAATTTCTTTAATTAATCATTGACTTTTAGAATAACTCCCAATATTAATTAGTTGGTATGTAACCAACTTTATAGCCCTGTTGCACTACGATAACTGTCTAACTACACATTGATAATGTCTAACTTCGACTCGAATATTTGAATATTCGGATTCCTTTTTTTCCTCTAGTTCCCAACGAGTCCAAAAGACAGGGAAAATATGTTAGTGGAGGTAAATGTATATGTATTAAAACGAATGGAACATGGATATGATCATATTTCTGAAAGACATGAAAAATAAGGGTTAAAATTTAGCGTACTAAAAGCACAACTGAAAAACCGGAAAGGTTTGTTCTTGACGAGGTTGAGACGAACTATGGTTTCTGTAGGAAGTACTGGATGGAAAAAAGCAGAAACAGAAATTTGTGAAATAAAAATAACAAAATAACGAGTGATTGGCTTCCTGCGTTTCTGACATCCTCACCCCACTCTCACTATGTAGTTGAAAGCATATTGTTTGGGGTTCGTATGCAACTGTGTTGTTTTCTGTCGGGGCCGACCAAACCTTACTTGCACTTGTATGTTTAATTAATGCATTCGAAGTGTTTTTTCCATCACGTTATTTGGTAAGCTAAAAATGTTTAACATTATATCCAGAGATATTAATGTTGTGTTACCTCGCTCGAGGGTATTTCTTGGTTGGTTAGGAGGTTGAGCACAGTCATTTTTGTCCATCTCCACTTTGTATAGTACATTTCTCTGCCTCTTTGTTATGCACCCTTTTCGTCAGCAGAAACTTTTATGAGTTGAAAACTAAAACCAACCCACCAAACAATCCCGCCACAAAAACTCTCGATCAAAGAAAGAACCCATCCAGTATTCAGAGTTGGTGTTTTGGTGTTCATGCACGACTACAGACTTCACTATGACCGGCTTAATCGTTACGTAATAAAGTTTTACCAAAGAATCCCAATTAGCATGACGCCTGAATCCAGAGTTCCTTACTGACTCCCTTCAACCATCTAACATCAATTACAATCAATAATTGTAATTCTTTATACTTGTTCACTTGTTATTTTTCTTCAATTTGTAGGTTCAACAGATTCTGCCTCATATTCTGTTCATGGTACTAATGATGTTGTAACTGCGGCTCTTCATATAATTTCTGGTAAGTACTGATTGTTGAGAGCACGAAGCGTAAATCGAGTTGGTTCGTTACTTGGTGAGGTCAAATGAATGACACTACTCGGATTTCGTATGAGCGTTTCGGAGACGCAGCACGCATCAATGGTGCGAAATTCTAAAGTCCTAGCTAAGGAAGCCTGTTGTCCTATTTGACACAGTGTTCGGACGTTGAAAGCTCCTACGTGTAGTTTAGAGCGTGGTTTCAGGAGACCAGGAATAACGTTCCGCGTACTCGAATCGTTTGCACTAGCGGTGTGAGGTGATAAAGGGACGTGAGAAGGATTAGTCGTAGAGATAAGAGAGTTATTAGGAGGTGTAGGAAGGATTTAAATGTGACCAACTTGTTCTCGTGTGCTGTTACGAGTACGAGGGATGATATCACTTTCCGGCTGCCCACACCGTGGAAGGGTATTTCTTGAAGAACCTGAGAAGGAAGTCGGACTAGTGTTGGCCTTAACGATCTGAGAGCGTGACCGCAGAGCTCAAGGGACAACTGCTTGAGGCCGGTCGCACTCGGCCTTTTTGTGGGAGGTTTTCAATGTGTTAGCTCTGTTCTTCAAAGGGCCTTATCTCTGGAGACGGAAATCCGTGAGGTGTGACATTTTTAGGGTCGACCTTTTCTAACCCCTTCCTTTCTTGTGAGAAGGCAGCATCTCTGCAGATGCTGGTTGTCCGAGGGAAAAACCTTACTGCTGTCACACCCCTCTACAGCCAGCAGTACGACTTCGCCCTCAGACCTTGAGTTGCTGCTTCTGTTCTTACCGTTCTCCAATCGGCCTGCCTGGCATGGTAGAACCTACAGGAACATATGTCCCAGCCAATATAGCTCGGTTGGGTCATCACGATAGGCAAGCCCGACCATCACGTCAAGGTAGCAGCTATGGTCTTGAATGTTTTTAATATATTTAAATATGATTGTAATTTTAAAGGTTTAATGTTATTTAACTGATCAAGTTAACAGTGCGTCGCTGGACATTGGCTAAGTCAAAAAAGTTGATTGACAAATACAATAATTCAAAAAATTAAAGTCGGTAAATTCATAGAAATAAAATAATGTTTTCAGTATTTATAGAAAAGTGATTAGTTCATGCATTCAAATATCCGATATCTGTTTTCCGTCGAAAGTGAGACTTAAGGGGCATGTGTCTGAAATAAGTCGAGGACAATCCTTAAATCTTGAAGGATGGCTAATTTGGAACAGTATGAAGCATTTTGTGCTTTAAAATTCTAGACCCGTTTTTTTCAAGTCGATTGATTCAAAGCCTTTGTTAGGTCTCAGATGTCTAGCTATAGAGGTTCTTTTATAACGTAAATCAAAACTTGTATGGGTTATTGGAGTTTTGTAAAGAATCATTCGTGATCTGCTGTATTAAGACCATCATCATAGCGTGCTTCTTTCTATATTAAGACTATTATTTGAAGATATGATCGAAATGTTGAGGTTTTGCTCTGATTTCCGTCGGTGGTTTTTTAGTTTCTGCTACTTATTAACCTCAGAGATAGCCGCTTCCATGTCATGCGGAAAACCATTGAAGTAGGACCTAAATTTATCACTTATCACGTAATTTCCGAAGTTTCAGTTATTAGACACAACTTGAGGTTCATATGTAAGTATAGTGCAAAAGATTAACTCGCTGCTTCTGTTTCTCAACCTCATGCTAATTTAAAGTGTCCACATGTCTTTGAACTATGGGATTTATTTCATATAATTATAATTTCATATTGATGAGTAGGTTAAGACGAATCCTTTTTTTTCTTCCTATAAATGTAATTTTCTCTTTGTCCATTTTAATGGATAGGTGATGATATTAGTTTGGATGTTGTCGCTGTACATGCGGATGACGATGGAACATTTATTCGTTACGTGCTAACGATGTTAGGCTATGGATTTCATTCTGATCTTTTACGTAATGATGATAAACGACGTTGGATGGGTTCTCAAAGATATAATTATTCTGGTAGGATTTTATCACTTGTTTTTTTTTTCTTAACCTCGATTAGATTATATCATGTTTAGTGTATAACACTTATCTTTATTATTTCTATCTCCCCTATATGTCATTAACACATCATACATTCAGATTGCTAAAGTTATTTGATTGGAATTAATTTAAAATGTTTGTGAAGTCTGGTGTTTTTTCTATTTAGTCACAGTTAGTGGTACAAATAACAATATATTTGTCTAGTTGAATTTTACCTTGTTATGACCCCTGTTATGTACGTGTCGTCTCTGTTGTGTCTTCAGTAAAAGTTTGCACTAGTCATACTGAGCGAATTTCACACTTAATTGGTGCAAACATATCGACCTGAAATAATGTTACTCTGATAAATATAACCCCAATGTTGCATTGCCACAGAAAGTTACAGAAAAATCAAAGTCTCCTTGTCCTTACAATTAATCGTTTAATTTCCTTTTTTAAAAATCTAATAGTGCTAAATTATACAGTTTTGTTAAGATACAGTGCAGAAGTAAAATATACATCTAGCAATAATCACTGTCTATGTATAATTGTTTTATTAGTGAGTAGTGAATCTTATCATACTTAATCCTTTAGTGCTAGTCGGATTCAGTCAGTCAGGTTGCAGTTTAGTCACTAGCTTAAATGACTCGATATCCCATACACTACGTTGAGATGTTAGGTGGTTGCAATCCGATCAGCATTTAAGTACTAGACAATTATGGCATTGGTCACTAAACTGTGATCGATCAATTGTAAATATTTCAGTCCTACAGGAGGTCAATCTCTATTTCATTACCGAGCATTAAAATCTCAAACTGGGTATACGTTGCAGATGAGCGCTAACTAGCACTGAAACTAGGTTAAGGGTTTCTTGTTGACTACTTCCAACTACTTAAAAAGTAACTGTATCTCAATCAAATCGTGATTGGGTTTATTTATTGACGTAAATCATTCATCAAGAACAGGTTTACGTACTACGCTTTGAACCACATTTCTTTGCGCTCGTGTGTGTGGGCTGTTAATACCATCCGGCTACTTAAACCAAATGTAATAGAACACAGTTCGAAGCAGTGACTTTTTGAGGGAAAGTTGAAAGCCTCAACCACTTAGTCACTGTTGTACTTTGTTTTTATGATTTACATCGTTCAAAATATTCATCGTGCAATTATTATTATTATTTGAACACAATTATTGGTTCAAAGGGGTGCCGAATAAATATGCGCCACACGAGTGACGTGATTTTTGTGTGGGGGCTGTGATACTGCCCGGGTGCCCGGACCGAAGCAGGTAGTTTTCTTAGGTAGTGACACTCCGAACCTTTGACTTAGAGGTCCAATCCACAAGGTAATGGAGAAACGTCAGGTGGTGCAGTCCCATGGTAGCCGGTGACCAACAATTGGTTCATACGCCATTTGTTCCCTCAGGATCCTAGATCCCATGTGCACCATTGGTTTGAAATCAGGGTTCTCCATCTCCCCTAGGTGGACTCTCAGTATCCGCCAACCCGGTTAAAGTGTCAGACATTCAGTTTTCGTCGTCTCAATTTCGTAAACAACACCCCTGCCACGACAAGGCAGTGAGTAGGACTTCCCTGTTAGTGGCTGTATACGTGTGGCCATGTGACGACATTTGGAGAGGGAGAGCAAACTCTCCCCATCCTCGGCCGTACCAGGGCATTTGTGGGCACCCGGACCGCCGGCTTGGCAGGTGAGCATATATATCAGGTTACATATAAGTTATAATGAGTATGTAACTTGTAATTTGTGGTGATATGCATATATTTAAACTGGTAATTGGTGTCTCCAACAATTCACCATTGTTTTTTGTTACCAGTGTTACAAAAGAAAGTTGTAGTATAACCAGTAAGATTCAGTGTATACTGTCTAACTTCAATCAGATATTTACACCGTTGGATACAGGCTCAGCGGTCTAGAGGTTAAGCGTTCGCTTGAGACAGAAGGTCCTGAGTTCCAGTCCCGTGTGCGGGATCGTGGATGCGCACCGCTGAAGAGTCCTATGCTATGACGAAACGACCATTCAATGCTTCCAGGTTTTCAGTGGTGGTCTAACATTGATCGGTAACTTATCTCAAAAGAAAATCATTAATTGGTCGTTGCTCTTTTTATTCTTGTCATACAATCTCTCTACGGCTTAGTACTCTACAATTTCAAATACTATTAATAATTAAGCTCTTATGACAGGTTCGTTGACGTTTTGTGAAATAGTGTGAGTAGAAGGAAGTTAAAATAATACATGGTATGAAAATACAATGTCACTGATTTCATTCGTTAGTTTCGGATCATACTTTTTAAAAATAGTCAACTCTCCTCCTAATGATTTTTATCTTTTTGCTCTTCATTTTTATCAATTTTCAATGTGTTATTGTTTCAAGTGTGACCATTCGAACCGATCCATTTACACATACCTTTGTTTCATTTGATCTATAATTAACTGACTGACTGGGATTGTTCTAACAACACTGTCTCTATATACTGTATGTTTTAAAACACAATTGTTCAATGTTTGAATTTTTTTCTTTTTTTCACATGTTGTTCATTTGTATGTAGGCTTCAAGACACTTTTACAACACGCATCATATCATGGTGAAATATCTTTTCTACCGTGTTCGGATCCAAACAACCTATCATCTAACGGTATTGTTTGTAATAGTGGGTACGGAAAAAATAATCAATGCATATTTATTAATAAATTTTTATTTAAGCAGGTGATTATCACTTTTCTTTGATAAATAAAGATGGAAATAATGTCTATCATTCATGTCTAAAACGGTTTGTTAATTGTAGATGCATTTGTATTATAATTACACTTGTAGTACGTAGTATGATTTTCTCTAAAGTTTTACTAATTTCATCCTGATTTATTTTGTGGGTGATATTGCATTTGTCTTTCGTTGTCTTCTGGTTTACATAAAACGAAATAGTGTTCCTATTAACTTGTAATCGAGTATGGTTCTGAAAGGTTTTGAAATCCTTGTGGTAATTTCTGAGACTTCATTGTTATAAGCCTCAGTTTTCCCCGCCTACACGAATGGGACGTTAATTCATTTTAGACGAATACCTACATTAGATACCCTTCCAGTGTCTATTCTACAGGACTTCAACACAACTCAGATCAAGAGCACGTCACTAGCCTGACTATAACGTAAGTATATTTCCGCTCCAAAAAACCAACAACAATCACGATAATTATAATGGTAAGAAAATACATAACTCATCTAATAACTGTCAGACCATCTACTCGCCTGGCTAATCAAACAACCAATCATTATTTTCCTCCCCCCACACATCACTCTCATATGGTAAAACAATTTGTTTTTTTCTTGTTTCTGCTAATGTATCGAGTTTCTAGACTCTTTTCGATAAATTTGTGAGGATAATCGTGTTTACTCAGGATGGATAGAAGATGAGTTTCTCTAATTTTCCTTGTTATCAGAGTGCTGCAGTTTGCTTTGTAATTCTTGAAATATGTCTGTACATAAATATTCCTGTGTTCTGTTGAGCTCTGAGCATTGTAACTTAGTACGTCATGTGTTAGGCTTAGTTTCTTGTATATTCGGGTTTCTAAAGTTCCTGAGTGTATTTTGCTGATTGACATATACAAGAATTGGATTTTGTTTTCTGATTTTTCTCTTATAAAATTGGTCTCTTCGAAAATGTTGCTAATCATTTTGGTGATATTTTCTCTTACAGGTAACAAACATGTCATCAACTTAACTCATCCAAAGATTTGGTTTAATTGTTGATAGAAATGTAGTTTCGAGTCTGCATAACAACTTGTGCGATCATTTCTGATATTTGTGGTCTTATTGTAGTTCATTTAGTCTAATTGTAAATTTGTTTATTGAATTGGAAATATGTTGTAAGACACAGCTTGATAAGTTCTATTCAACATGATTGTAATGAATGTGATCACAGATGGAGACAACCAGTTTATTTAAATACCGAATTGTAAAATCTCTTGGTAAACTACGAGAACCATACATAACTACTTCATTTGCATAATTGCATCATTTGTCCTTCACATTCTGTATGATTCTTCCAAGTCACATTTCCTTCCTATTTCTGCTTCTGTCGACTTTCATAGCCTTCTGTTACCATGCATTCCTATTCTGACTGGTGTTAAATACTATTTATATCGACAGACATAAGTAGCATACACCATATGTTCACTGTGTTTTCGTTTGTTCTCAGAGTTTTTCGTTTCTGAACAACTGTGATGTTGTGGTATTCTTGGCGGGTTTTGCTTTTGTTGAAGTGAGTAAAGCTATTATATAATAAAAGACCATAATTTCACAAATGAAGCTGGGAATACTTCTGATAAACGACAACTCACAGAAAAGTTCATCAGAATACGTTGGTTTGGCGCGTATGGATTAATTGAACCACTGAATTCTACCGTCGAGCTCAAGAAATAATACAACCAAAAGCCTTTTAATTTTCCTGTAATCTTCCCCTCCTTTTGTTACTTTAAAAGACATTTTGCTACGTTTGTCTGGTTATTATTTATGAATTATTGTTATTAGCTATCAGGCTCATCAGTTGACGTTAACATTTTCTCTAACAAAATGGTCGTTATGAAGATTGGTTCAGTTTTGTGATGGTATTCGTTATTGACTAACTTCAGCTACTGAGTCGTTGAAGAGCAGAAAAAAGTGAACAACTATTTTGTCCTTATTTTGGACGTCCCAACAATGTATATCCATAACTGCATCAGGGATCAAACTCTTTAGAATCTTCAGGTCACACAACGTGGTCATTATCTTTAGATTATTCAGCAAGGGACATCTGTTGGCTCATATTTTTAACTTCAATCGATTCCCAGTATAGTACAATCACCATCCATTTTCCGCCGTAATGAATGTCTCTTCCAGTCACGAATTTCACCAGAAATTTATGAATATATCCCAGTCATCCGACTGATGAGTACATCCTTATTTATTTAACTAGTTATGAAGACTAACTTAGTTTGCGATTGAAGATGAAACAACCGTCCAATATTCGTTAGTTTACCAATTAGAAACAGTTAATAAGAAGAACTATTTCAAAATAATAGTTCGTTTTAATTTGTAATAATCAAATATATATTTATTTCTGTACAGTTATAACTTTTTTTCTCAGAAAATTCAAATGGAACACTAGAAAAATGAATGTATTTAGATAATTAAAATAATCCATTGTGCCAGTGAATAAAAATAATGAGAATTCAATGAAGAGGACTTTCTTTTCGACAAAATCATTCACTTAAGCTATACATTCGTATTTCTATTTATATGGAAAATATATATCTATAGAAGGATAAAAAAGATTGCATCATAAATATAATCGAGACTTATTATCAAATGAGGTTGCGCAATAATCAAGGGGTAAGGAAGGAATATAAGGATGAAAATAATTTACGGGTCAGATAGATGTCCAATTCACAGATATAGAGAAAAACGACAAGCATTAAGGTCATAGTAATAAAAACTGAATAATAATCAAGAAAACTTGTTTAAAGTAATAATAATAACTTTAGTTTAAAATTACAAAACAATAATTTAAAAAATCAACAATAATCAAATAAAAATGAAAAAAAAAAAACACCACTAAAGGGAATTAGGGCCAAGGAAGGATAAGAGGTTGGACGAATCGTTTTTGCACTCAAAGTTCACGGATCTCCAATGCCCCAGCAGTGCATAAAATATTGATTCGACATCCCTTCGATCCAATTTTTCTGACTATATAGATTACTTTAAAAGAAGACTCTTTTGGAGCGATGTGTGCACAATTGATTATATACTTCTGTATTGAATTAGTAATTGTTTTACATTCTCCTTTTAAAAGCTATACCGGTTAGTGTTCTGAGAAGCGTTTGGATATCTCGATTATGTTTATGATGCGATCTTTTCTATCCTTCTATAGATATGTATTTTCCATATATGTATAAGCTTAAGTAAATGATTTCGTCGAAAAGAAAATTTCCTTCGCTGAATTCCATTTTTTTATTGAATGTGTTTGAATGAAATTAAGATTTGTCAAATATTTTATAGATTAATGTTTATTATTATCTAATTATTTATAATATTTATTTCATACCACTTTTTAACAGTTGTAATAGTCATTAAATAATATAATGAGTTCCATAAATTTACTAAATGACTTAAGTAATTTATTTTTTATTGAAAATTAATTATATTTTAGTTAAGTTTATATTGAACATAAATTACTGACATTTTTAATCATTAAAAGAGAAGAGTTTAAAACTCTAATTGTAAACAATCATTTATTTGTTTTCGATATTTTACTTTTTACCTTGGTAATTTGCCAGTTTTCGTCCTTCAGTTTCTTTTCTTCATCAAGCGTTGAATAATATTTAATTGAATATGTGTGCCTTTAATTGATCCATTAGTCAACTTTACTTTGGATAAATCTTACTAAATAAATACACGATTCGATTTCTTAGCCGTTTCTAATAAATCTAAATTGAATCTACACGGCAATTTGAACACAAGAGAAAAGGCACGAAATGTGAAACCAAAGACTGGTGATAAGAATTTATTTGACTTCCACAATAAGTCAAAAAAAGGATTTATGAATATACTACTTTTTATGTAATTTGTTTACAGTTAGATTAACAGTCGAATTTGTTTAAATTGTATTTAACAATAAAATTCAATAACTTACTATGTGGATACATATTTACCATATTATGTAGTTAGGGGTCCATAATACTTTTTAAGATGTGATAAATACATGTCACACACAATTAAGAAAAATCAATTTCATATGTCATTCACATTTCGATTAATTAAGCTATTGCTCGCCATAAAATGATGTGAGATCTTTTTTTGATGACATTATTGGTATGGTAATAAGATTACCTAGTTTAGTATATTTTCGCCATATTAACTACTTACTTTCTTCATTCGCTACTTTAATTCAATACAATATCAAATTCAATTAATTTATGGTTTGAGTTATCAATTTTATATTAATTGGTTTCCTAGAAAAATCTTTTTCATTGAATGTGATTTTTTTTCGTTTATTTGTATACACTATTTTCTTATATATTTATGTACATAAATTCTTTTCATTTAGATGTTCCGTTTGTGAATCAAATATTGATCATCATACTGATGATTCATTGCCTGTCGATTGTTCACTGAATAAGTTTAGTATAAAACATTATGAAACGGAATTTGATGTGCCTTTGAATTCCTCAAAGAATATTCGAGATAGTAGTGATTTTTCTAGTACAACATCTAGTTTAAATAATGGTAGTACTCACAGTGTAAGTAATTCACAAGTACTAATCAATCAGAAATCAGTGGATTCTGATCTAGGCTTGAGCATTTCATCGAATATTGATGGTCATAAGATTTTCAACTCTCATTTATCTGGTTTTAAATTTGGTGAGTTAGATTTCAGTTATTATAGGAGTTGTGATTTTCATCTATTTTGCTATACTCGTTTTGTTAATTCAGCTTGAGGATGGGTTATTTTTTCAGAATTCGTTGCAAAAATCGTTATTTTGAATTTTTAAACTTCACTAATCTTTAATGGCTAATACTCAAGGATGCGCCTAATTTTGTGTAAATACGCACACGTTTATCACTGTGTCATTGTCAGTTGGAGAGTGGTACTACAAATTGTTCATTTGATGTCAACTGTTTAGGGCTAGGTTTAAGGTCATCGGAAGGGAGAGGTATATAGCTAGTTCGGCTTAAAGTTATTTTGAACTTACATTCACTATTGCGTCATTGTTCGAAATTGTGTGGTTTTGGAGGGGTTATGCCAGTTTTAATAATTCTCATTTAGTAAATCTGTGCCGCATAATTTTTGCCACGAACTGATATCAAATAAGGAATTATTGAAAACAAGTGTGATCCATGGAGTGAATCATGCTCTCATAAAGACAGTTATCAATCAGCGATGGTGTTAGATACTAGTGGTGCTGTATTGTACGTTTAATTAAGTCAGGAATGCAAAACATCAGAGTGCAGATCAGTAGTTCAATTGTATAATATATGCATAAAACATAAATGTTCTAGGCTGGATTTCAGACGACCTTATGTATGCTGTTCCGGAGTCATAAACTTTAACAAACTATCTGACTCATCGTGGTTTTCAATGTTTGTCTAAATTATGTCGATTTGTTATGTAAGGTGAAAAAAGTATTATCACTTTTCACAAAAATTAATTTAGATTTTCAAAAATCTACAATCTTATGACATTTTGTTTTTTATTTATGATCTCATTAAAAATATTCCTTATCCTATTACTTATTAAAATAGCGCCTTTGAATAAATTCTTTTTTGACACATTTTCAATGTTGTCATGATCTACCGTGTGAGAAAAGTGTGCTCTGCAATATACTACTATATCTTCAATTAAACCCTTCAGAATGTAATTTAATAGTTGAGTTCATGAGGCAATTATAACTGGAGCACCATGGAAAACCTGGAAGCACCAGACGACCGTTTCGTCCTAGTACGCTACTCCTCAGCAGTGTGCATCCATGATCTCGCTCGGGGGTTTCGAACACAAGACCTTTTGTCTGGCACGCGAGCGCTTAACCTCTAGACCACTGAGCCGGCATCCAACGGTGTTAATGTCAAACTGCAACCAGTTTACGAAATTGCGCCGCTACTCACCATTGTCTTCAATGAGTTACTGTCTCACGACAGACCCAGTTGAACTCCACTGGTCACGGCTTCTCACTAGAACTTCAGGAGATACCTCTTAAAGCCAGTCACTAGTGAGCACATGATGATTATTATCAGAAGGGGTTTTTATGGAGATTGTAGTAATTTAATAGTTGGGTTCATGAGTCAACAACAACGGGGTCTGTTGTTAGATAGTAACTCACTGAAGACAATGGTGGACGGTGGCGCAATTTCGTAGACTGGTTGCAGTCTAGAAGTTAAGCGCTCGCGCGCCAGACAGAAGGTCCCGGGTTCGAGTCCCGCGGGTGGGGTGATGGGTGCGCACTGCCGAGCGGTCCCATACTAAGACGAAATGGTTGTCCAGTGCTTTCAGGTTTTCAATGGTGCTCTAGCTTTAATTGACTCATGAACTCAACCATTGAATTACTACAATCTTCACAAAGCCCCTTTTTAATAATAACCATTGGAATGTTTTACGAATTTGTATTAGTGACGTTTCAACAATTTTTCATAGTAACAAATTGAATTAAATCATAGAAGGTCATATTAATGGAAATGCAATTCTCACTTTATTTATCTATCACATCTAATCAAGAAGAAATCAACTGCGATTTGTTTCAAGTTAGACATATAAACTATTGGATGCCGGCTCAGTAACTGAAACAGTAAGAGCTCACCACTTTTGGACTGAAGGTTTTGGGTTCGATGCCCAGTGAGGTTGTAGACGCGCAGTGTTTTGGGGTCCCATACTAAGACGAAGAAGCTATCCCACACGTTCTAGTTTTTAATAGTTATTTAACCAAGATCAGTGCATGATGTAAACATTTCTGACCAATTATAGCTTCTAACGTCTTGGTATTTACATATTTATACAAAGAACATTCAAATGTACTATAGGTATGTTAATGATAAGACTCAGTTACCCAAACTGTATTTATTTATTTAAAAACATAAAGATTGGTGCACGAAGGCATCGAATACATGTGTCACAAAGCTATCCAGTATGTGTGAGGGCTGGAATACTGCTCGACCGCTCAAACCAAAGCAGATGGTTTTCTTAGGGGAGTCACCCCCGAACCTTTGACTTAGAGAACTAATTCACAAGGTGATGCCGTCCCATGGTAACGGGTGACCATACACCATTTGTTTCTTCAGGATTCTGGATCCCATATACGGCGATGGTTCGGAATGAGGGTTTTCCAACTTCCCTAAGTGGATCCTCCGTTTCCACCAACTCAGTTGAAGCGTCGGACATTCGCTTTTCATCTCGGTTTCGCAAACAACATCCCACAACGAGAAGGCAGTGAGAATAGAACTTCCCTGGGAGTGGCTGTATACGCGTGGCCATGTGAGAGCATTTCGAGAGGGAGAGTGGACTCCTCCACCCTCGGCCTTTGTGGGCTACCCAAACTGAACTAGATTCAAACCCAGGGTCTATTTAATGGAAATTGTTTCACTTAGGCATTACACTTGGGGAGGTATAAATGAACTCTTCAATTTTATTTGTAACAAATTTCTCGTATCTTATAAGTTTTCTCAATACCAATGTGAATTGAATAAACTCATTTTAATTGTTTTTAAAAATCTTGTTCATTTTATCCTTAGATAAAAATTTCAGTAGAAATTCCTTTGATGTTAATCCGTGCAATATTATGTCAAACGAAAAAGAAAGAATTTCTAACATTGGAATAGAACAATTACGTGATAATCAATTAGCACTAAGTCAGAGTTCACTTAAACCAATAAAACATTGGCATACCATTCGAGGCACGTTTTTAGCAATTAATGCATTTGTTCAAAGTTGTCGATGTGCACTAGCTGTCTGTGGTCCTGCACCTTGGGCACATTTAAGTGATGGTTGTTTGGACTTAGTTTTCGTGCATAAATGTTCCAAAGTTCAATTCATTCGATATCTTATGAGTATAGCACGAAATCGTCATATGACGCCTCAGGAAAATCCTTTTAATTTTCCATTTATCAGTGTTATGAAAGTATGTGCTTTTCGATTTGTTGCACAAAATAAATCAAAATTAAAAATGTTGGATAATAATAAACAAAACTGTTTATGTAATAAACAGAATAATTTACAAATAATTCACAATGCCAGTGATGATTCAATTATTGAATCATTACAATCTACGTCATTGTCTGAGCCAAATTCTTCATTTCACAATGTAAGTCAAAAGAAAACAACAATTTGGTGTTCTGATGGAGAATTAATTAAAAAATCCAACATTATTTGCTTGTAAGTTGAATTCATTTACTAATAAACTTTCAATCTTTGGAAATATATATAATTTATCAAAAACAATTAGCATTAAGGGACAAGGTTATTATTTCCCTTGTTACTAATTAATTAAACTAAGTTTGTTTGAAAATATTTTAAAATAAATTATAAAGTGACTAAGAAGCCGGAAACAAGAAGAAAGTTTTGTGGCTCGGGATCTGACTCCAGTTATATCGTATGATTGATTGATATTGAAATATACATATCGCCAATTCTCGTATATAAACATCGACTTAAATAGTGTTGTTGAATAACGAAATTAAGTAAATCAAATATGGATTAAGTCAAGTATGAATCTCGAATACGTATATTTTGTAAAATTGTTGATCGGAACAAACAATCAGAGAGAGGTACCGAAGGAAGGGAAGAAGAGAGAGCGAAGAGAAACGAACCGACGTACAGTGGAGAAAGGCATGTAAGCCAATTCCATTTAATCAGGCGTGAATCGATATTTATAGTCACACAAAAATAAGCTACAGACATGTAATGAGTAGGATAAGATGTACACACATACGCTCATAGAAAAACAGTCAACGTTGATAAGTGAATAATTAACAAGGTGAAAACGTGACTCAAGAAGAATTGGTAAATCGGCCTGTGGAGAAGCTAGGATAAGTTATATGGGCATAACATAGTAACCGACACTACAAAGGCACTAGGTATTTTGTTAGTTCACTCAAACTGGTGTTGAATACGCACAATCCCCCGTGTGTGGGAATGAGTTTAGTAACCTGAATAATTTTATAAACTTTTAGGTGGCCGTTAAATGCCATGGTACTGCCGAGAATGGGAACAGTACGCTCTTCCTATCGAAATGTTCCCATACGGACATGTGTTTACACCTCTATCAGTGAATTTCTATTCATTACCTGTATACAGTAGTGCTTTATTTCGTGGAAGTGAGAGGAAGAAAAGCGAATGTCCTGTTCTTGAATTGGGTCTACGTTGGGTAGTTGTAAAACCCTTACTGAAAACCAGTAGTGTGCATGGGTTTATAGGATTCTGGGGGAACGGGCAATATATGGGCCTATTTTTCGTCACTAGGTACCGTAGCATGACAGCTCTTGATGTCGTTTTACTGCCTTGTGGACTAAACTTTTGGGCTTAAGGGTCCTTGAGGTACCCACATGTTCCGGTCCGGGCTTTCGGGCAGTATCCTAGCCCGAATTTTGTTTTGTGTGGTGTATTTTATTTTTGACTCCTAGTTGTACTAGATTCCACATAAATAAAATAAAATGAAATGGGAAGCACTTTAAGTTTATTTCTGAAACATAAAAACTATTGAGTTGTCACTCTACACTGAATTCTCAAAAATTTAGACTCAAATTTAGGACCTGTTCTTCCTAACTCAATCCAGTCTCTAATTTTCATACAACAAGTATGATCCAAAGATTAGTAGACAAATTTTGCTGAGTTTTACATCAGTGAAGTAATAGGTTAGTTTGAGAATCAATGCTTAGTGTTATGTTTAATTCTAAGCATATAATGCAACCTATTTATTACGTACAGATTTATGCACTCAGGAGTTAATATACTGGAGTCCCACATTGAGAGGTATCGCTAATATAGAATGGGAATAAGTATGAATAATGAATAAATTCAATACACTTCCTAACTCTACATTAAAAACATCTTTTAATCGCAAGGATGAAATTTGAGTACATCGGTTGACAGAGATATCGTAGCAGCAGTTAATTGTGGAAAGAATTTCGAACATGCATATTACATTAATAGATTTTTCAAAAACTCAAACTCAGTATAGTGAGAGTTAATATGACTGTTTGTAATTGTACCTCTCAATAATGAGTGACTACTTTTTGAAGGCAAACGTGTATATGTTTGGATACCTTAAAGATCTTGTTCATATTTACGTAGTATAGCAACCAAATGGACTAATCAGAGATAAATAAGTCTTAGATTAATATACATCATGGCTAGGAATACCTTAAAATTCTTGATCGTTTACTCCTAAATTTTAAATTCCTACCTTTTTGCGTTAAATTTTTGTCATGTATTGTTAGAACATATTCCTTGCTTAGTTTTTTAATGTCCCCCACTGTTGAATGTTAGTTGATAACTAAAAATACAAACGTCTTTGTCGATAGCATTTCTTCTTAAATTTCTCATACTTCTTTTAGGAAGTGTTGTTTCGGTTACCTGTTTGTTTGCTTCCAAACATTTTTCTACTTTACATTCTTATCGGGGTTTAGTTTCTGACCTAGTTTTCAGTGTTGCTAGGTTTGAAATATCAATTAATTTGTGAAGAGTTCTACAAAATTGCCTATTGATTAGCTTAATTGATGTTACTGTAACATGATGAATGATGGATACTAAAGATATGTAACCATAGTAACGTGTATCTAAAGTACACTTCTTTTTCGCTAAGTAACACATGATAATTTTGCTTATCGAACAATTGAAATTTAAATTATTTTGTTCTCATTACTTGTTTTAACATAAAATAATAGTATATTAGTTTTCTCATAATATGAAGTTTTCTATATAAATAAATTTAATTGTCAGAAGGGGTTTGTGAAGATTTTAGAAATTTCACAGATTGAAATCATGAGTCAATTAAAGTTAGACCACCATGGAAAACCTGGAAGCACTGGACGGTCGTTTCGTCCTAGTATGAAACTCCTCAGCAGTGCGCATCCATGATGCTAATCAATAAACGAATACTGAAAATATGTAGGAGCGTAAAAGTGGAAGAAATTACAAATTTTTCGAAAGAGTGGAGTGAATAGAAGTTTAGTTTAAATCTGTTCTTATATCAATCGCCAAGAGTGGTTGTACAAGCTTAATTCGATCACAAACGTTAGGTTTATGAATATGAATTCCGATAACTCCAAAACTATGCAAAAAATGAACTCGTAAACAACGCCGTAAATTTAAGAGGAATGTGGTTCATAACTTCAGTACGGGCCTATAATATCTAATACAGTTGGTTCTCTTCGTAATCGATGACGGAAACTAGCATACAACACAGCACATAATGGTTAAAATTACCGAAAAGACAGATGATAGGAAATTTGACATAACAAACGGTTCACAACGAATTGGTTTTCCGTTAATATATGTGACGGAAGCATAAAATTCAGGTATGCAGAAATTTATTGAACTGAAAGTACAAATAACTAAACAGAATAAGGCTAAGGTTATGTAAAAAATCTAATTAGAAAAAAAAGTTTGCGGTTATTAGTTTTAGTAAAATGTTACCATTGTTAACAAAATAGTTATAATTTTGTGATTACCTTAGGACTTTAAAAAAAACCTTACTCAAGTTAGAAGAGTTAGTCATAAGAAATAGAAATTAAACGTTAATTGAGGAAGAATGTCTTTATAAAATTTCAGCGAATAAATTTGAAGTAAATTCAATGTTTTGCCTAGTAATCTGGTTCAAGTTTTTTTCAAGGGAAATTTTGTTTAATTAATTTTAGCGCATTTTCGTTGTTGTTAATTTATTCAAAGTAAATTTTGTTCACTAATTTTCAATAGATTTTCATTTGTTATTGATTATTTAATTCACTTCTTGTATTGATTAATTGATTATGATTCTATGTTCAATAGCAATTGATCAATTGATCAAAATTTCTAATTAATAATCAATTGAATCGATACATAATTGTGTTAATTTGAATATTCTTTTTTAATTCTTCTTAGGTCTTTATAAAAAAACAACAACTTTTTACACAAACTTAATCTTTTCATTGTAGTTAACGGCTTAAGAGAATAAAACGAATGAAAATAGTTTCTTTCAGTGTATCGAAGTTGGAGTAGCGAATAAATTAGTTCGTTGCACAAACATATCAAACTTTGACATAAAAAAACCTTAAACCGATTAGAAAATACATCGAAGAGATGTGAAGAATAAGTTTCAGGAATGAGAACATATATTAGACGAAATACTTAATCCTAAGTTCAAGGGGATGATATAAATTTTCATTCTGATTTTCTTCTCCATTTTCTATGTTAGAGCGATCATGCTTCATTTTATGAATAATAAATAGTCAGTTCTTAAAAAATGTTAAATATAGGCTGGAATAGGAACCAACGAAAACAGAACATTCTATCTCTTTAAACTGAATAAAATCTATCTTGGTTATGTTGTTGAACTTTTTTTTAAAAATTGAGACATATACTATTCTCGTTAAGTTAGTTAATTTGTTTCGTGATTTTCTCGGTTTCACATTTCTTCATAATATTTCTCATTTTATTTTACATGGAGAATTTCTCAGTGCTTTATTGTATCAATCATTTATTGTATGATAATACTGATAGTAATTAGTTATTCAGTCAATCGTAAATAGAATATATCCTAGCATAGTTTTGCATCATATCAAGTTGTCGTATATCGTATCAGTCAATTGATAAAAGAAAATGATAATTGAATAGTTAGTGAGTTAAAATAATAATAGTATCAATAGTAGTGAAGAAAGCTAAATATTAATAATATGGTTCAAGTAGAAGAAATATTCTGGATTAAATGAAGGAATACTATTACTCAAGAGCTGTAGTAAGATAAAGAGTGGTTGCATCTGAGTCATTCCGATTTATTTCACCCAGTGTCTGTATTTACTGGATACTATTCAACTGGTTAATCTCCATCTACTGATACGTTTCAGTCTAACAATAATGCAATTCATGGAGGGGGGATTATTCCATGTCCTAATTTGTGCTCACCTAGTTCTTTTTTTAGAATTATTTTTACTCTAGCATCGTTTATCGAGCTAGGTGTTGGCTAAGGATGCCCAATACATATCCTAACCACTTCAGTTGGTGAAGATTTGCAACCTCACCGACTGTTTTGCCATATTCGTCTGTTATCCTATGTCTAATCTCAATATTATTTACTCGGTAACTCCATGAAAGTCAAGTATTGCGTCTAAGACAAAGCCTACAGCACACGTTTTCTCTCTAAGTTCATAGACTATGTTTAAAGTTTAAGGAATACAGAGAGAACTATTGCGGAATGCAATTTGCCTATTGGTTGGAAGATAGACATCTTGCCTATGGCGCAGAACGTTTGTTATTAGCATTACATCAGTTAGATTGGTTATCTGATATGTAACAGGTTTTTCGTCGCATATGACTGACTGACTATTATCTAACATTATAGGTACTTAACTTTATACTCAGAGTGCATGTTACTAAGGGTAAAATGTACTAAATTACCAATGACAATTTGTTGACCACCCACATGGAAAATAAAATAAAATGGTTAATTGGTATCGTTAATTGAGATACTAAGTGAAATCTTATTATATAACATCTGCTAAGTTAATGTAGATAGCTATTATCATTTCCTTTCTAACCTTAATTGTATATTATATTTTTCAAAATAATTTTAATTATTATTGGCTCCACTATTTCTTTCCTTAGTGTCCATCGTAAACTGATACGATTTTTTGGTCGAGGTCCGGAACAACATTCGGATTTAAACGATTCACTGGATACATCTGAAGAAAAACAAGAATCCTATAGGTTGATATTACAATCTATGATGGATGAAACCTATTCAATCTACTAATATTAGTTGCAATCACTACACTACTTCTTTTTCTTCTATAAAATAATATATTTTTGCATATTGACTTTCTTGCTCATTTCTTTTCTTTTCTTTCAAATCTCTGATTTTTGTGATTTTTTCTTTTGATTCGTTTTACGTACATATCAATTTTTATTGAATGCATTCAATAATTTGTGTATTTAATAAATTTTGTACTGAGTTATACTTTATCCTCATATTCATTTCATTTGTTCTTGCATATCATCCGAATTCGTTTGTATTGCGTTTTCTAATTTTCTCAGGCGCCATGTTGTTTGTGATAGCGATGACGACAACTGGCTTAATTTTGCTCACATAAAAACTACTGTAAATATCTTTTTTTATTTGAAATGATACTACATTTTGTGCTTAATAACTGTTAAATTTTTATACGCCTAGGGTGTGTCGTGTATATTTTTTTTCTTGAAAAAATAACCTCTACTTTCTAAAATAAGGAGTTGGCAGTCGGCAGAATTGCCTCAATCTAATTGACAGTATTACACTTTATATTAAATTTTATAGTATCCATTCAAATTTGCAATATATTTTAATTTTACAAGAGAACCGATGACATATCTCCAAGTCTTCTGTTTTTATACATTCAATCAGAATGGATCATAGAAAAATGAAGTAATTGTGTAATATAATATTTATGTGTGAAGTAAACGCAACTGTTGATTGAAAACAAGCAACTAACTACAGAAATAACGTTAAAATTACATCAGTGTAATGTTAGGTGGGGTGCATACTAAGAAAACCAGATTTGTTTCTTTCTATGTACACATTGATACGAACAACAATTTTTGTCCCGATTAGACAGTTGATGTGAGTGATTTATTATTTAGAGACAAATATAATGACACAAAGTCATTTGACGCTTCGGATTACCACTCATATGCGAGTTGCAGATATTCACGAAGTCGTACTTATGCCATTTAGTGGTGAATTCTTATTTTACAGTGAACAAACTAGTCGATCAGTTTTTCTTACCATCTGGATCACAAACCTAATATAATTAGAGTAGTGTTCCAAAAAACTACTTTCGAGGCACACACCACCAAATAGTGTTGAATAATTTCACAAACCGTGAAGGCTCCAAGCAGATTTACAGTTGTGTCTTGTTACAAGATATTCTAGACAAGTTATGGATTTGAAAGGAATGAGACCTATTATGAGTGAAATCAGTCTATGCTCTACTCTTATGTTAGCGCAAAAACCGATTAGCGAACTTAGTGAAGCATGTTGACTTTTGTCTTTAGGAGGTATTCACACGTTATTCAATGCTGTACTAATATATATATATACTTCATACTAGATGAAATTACCTTCTATCGATTTTCACTAATCAACCGTTTGATTTAGTGATATATTTATTTAATAACTAACGTATGAAAAGTTTGAAATAGCACGCACAATAATGAAATGATTAATTAAATTGAATTATAGCAAAAGAATTTCAATTATTACCAAGATATATTAAGTTAAGTATTGTTATTCAGATTTATAATTTCTCGTAACAAATTCCAAAAAAGGCAACAATTGAACTTCGTAAATATCACATTCTACACCAAGTTTATCTTTTCATTCAAATTATTTACCAAAAATTAAATTCAGATAATTGTAGTACACATTTTTCTATGGAATAAATCGATAGTTTTGTCTTTAAAAGCGGAATAATTAGTTGCCTTATGAGAAAATATTAATTTTTGAGTGAATATTAGTTAACTTTTCTGTCAATAATGATTGTTAGGAAACAGTTATAAGTAGGGCAATATAATCATGGTTAATTGTTTTGGGGGAATTAGTTTTTTTCTTTAATGAGTTAGTTTACAGTGTTTTTATGCAGTTATATAGTTCTAGTTTTGTCTAGTTCTAGCTATCTCTTGACTTGTAAGTTGTCGTTGTATCTTATATCGTTCTTAAAATTCAGTTAGTTTATACTGCATCTTTTACCCAACTTTGTAAGATATGTAATTTGTGTTATTTTCTTGTACTATTCATTTATGATCAGGTGGATTGTGTTCCAAGATGTAAAAACAATTTATGACCACCCTTCTCGCTTCCATTATTCTTATTAGACATTTAGTAATGTACGAACTCACGTAACCAGTCTGTCACATGACGAACGCCGTAGTGAGCTATTGAGGTGAGCTGACAACCAGTGAATGATAACTCAGTGGTATGAAGATTAAGCACTTTCTGCAAAGCATGAATAACCTGGGTTCAGACCCTACAACTGTTGTGTATGTGCACTCTTAAGGAGCTTCACACAAATACTGAATTGCTTTACGGTGACATTAAAGATGAATACTTTTCTAGTATCATAAGTACATGCAACAAAACGTATAAATATTGTATAAGGATGATTAAATGGAAATAGAATAAGTTGAGTACATTTCTTTGATTGAATAAGGGAATATATAACCTAAATCACTTAGATCTTATTTGTCTTTAATGTTAAAATGTAAAATTTAATGGTAAAAATATACTTTTCGATTTTTAGATAAGACTATTTAAAACTTTCAAAATCTCGTAGATTTCAATTGTTCTTGATATAAAACTGTCTTACTGTATTAGACAAAAATTTACTGAATTGAAACCTGTCAATTATTTAGATAAATAATAATAAGTCTTGGTAGTTAAATTTTATTATCGAAATGGTCACAAATATTTGACAACCAGAACAAATGAATTACATTTCTCATTGCACAAGCTAGTGGTTGTCTGAACTCAGTAGCTCAGTGGATAATACGATGGCGTTCGCAGTGAATTGTGTAGGATTTTAGTGCCAGAGTAAATATTAACTTTGAGATGGTAGTACTGATGAGTCCTAGGTGAGAAGAAACGGGTGTCCTGAATTTAATTGCTGGCCACACATCTCTACTTAAAAAGCTTTTGAATTAATGGGAACATCAAGGTTATCCTCATAGGACCCACATATGCCAAAACGGACTTATCAATTTTAATCCTGAAAATCAATAAACTGATTCAATTGACCAATACAAATTAATTAATATTTAACTCTGTTTACAAATAAGTTTTCTTGACAGAATGTTTGAGATAGCTACTTCCTGGTCAGTTCCTAGACTTCCATAAACTCTGATATTCGAAGCCCTGGCGAACACCAGAAAGTAAAAGTATAAAGGATGTTGTGCTTTCAAAGTTAGTTTAATTGAAGAAAACATGGGGTTTTCATACGGTTACCGGTGACCTTGGTCTTCTGGGAACATCTGTAAAAGCTGATAAGATCTACAGTAGTTTTTTACTGGATCAATCAAGTTGGCCTTCAGGATTTCCCGAGAATTTTCTTTAAACTCTGATTGGATGAATGTATTTCATTGAGTACTGTTTGGGCTCTTGAGGCATTTTTACATATATACTAAGAATATTATATCATCATAATTTTGGATAATAAAGGTCATCATAGTTTCTTTCATCAAAGACTAATGCTTATAAAGGGGTTGATCTGTTTAATGCAGATCTAAAGAAAGGATAAAAGGTGAAGCGTATCTACTATGTATCTAATACTTTTGTGTGAACTGAACAAAATAGAGCTCTATGTCAAGTACTAAACAGTGATGAAATGTTACAGTTTTGATCACTTGGTCGGATTCCAAATGTTAATGCTATTTTTAATTTTTTGAGATTTTAGTTTTAAAAAACTTTATAAAATGAGGGGTATAATTAATTGGTTATATTTTGAGGTCTATTTTAAAATGGAGAAAGGTATTCATCATAAACTGAGATTAGTTGAGAACCACTTGACAGCTAGATAGTTATTTTATCCTAGTGTGAGATTTCTTAGTGTTGGACACCCATATTAAAGTCTTAAGGTGTGAATGTTACTTTGAAACCTTAAAGCTGGAATCAAAATAATCCACATTTTCAACTCTAAACATTTCTCAATATTGCTTGACGGTCATTCACTGTCATTGATGATGAGCGTTTCACTGCTGACGTAAATAACCTCTATCAATAGGAATAACTAGAAATATAGAATACGAAACTTCAGTTAATATAATCAGCTGAGCAGTTGGGTAATAAATGAACAAAATCCTGAAAAGCTGTTCTCAAGAATTCCAAACTCTTGTTCTGAACCAAAATCGATTTAGTAAAACTAGCAAAATATCTGTTCATCACTTACTAATGCCAATCATAGACTAACTATAAAGTGTCTAAATAGATTGATTAATCATTGAAAATATTCTTTTTTTTTGAATTCCTTCTGAAGTGTATATTCAAGTTATGCAGTTAAAACTGAAGTTTTTCGTGTATGACTTTATGACGTTTACCAGTATAATTATGAAATATTATCTGAAGTTAGAAAGAATATTTCATAGAATTTGCCAGACTGTTTGTCTATAGTTAACTTTTATTAATATAAAATCAAAGTAAATAACCTATAGAAGTTTGTAAATTCATCATACGATTATTGTAAGTTTACCAGACGTGTATGATGATAAAAAAAGTCGATGGATCATTCTTTGCCATATTAAAATTATTTAAAATCATAGATAACAACAACGAACAATCAATTTTTCTTTAGACAATCACCAGTTCAAATGACACCATTATGTCTATTGAAGCTACTCTGTGGTTCTTCAATTGTTACAAATATAGTGGTGTGATATAAACAACTCTACGTTATATTATATGACTAAATGCCATTATTAATTATCTTTATATGGTCAACTAGTTCCAATGCATTGCGACTAATGAGGTTAGCATTTAGCCCGAAACTGTAGCGAAGTCTATCTTTCTAAAAGACATTATATTTTTGTGCGTAAGAGAATCATCGTGTTGTTTAAAGCTAATTATTTAGCTAAGAAACGAAGGAGGAGAAAAGCCTAATACACATTTCAGGTTTACCATATATTTTCAAATACTTTATGGAAGTCTGTATCTTTCCGTTTATATCTGTGAAAGTTCTAGTTTCGATAGAACTAATAAAAAGTGTATTTGTAGTGTATTCGTAATCCTCATCATTTCGTATTATCGTTAACAGAGCATTGTTATGTTAAGTTACAAGTATTTCACCTTTTGGTATGCTGAAGTTAAAAAGCTTTTTAATATGATATATACTTGTCATTTCTTAGCATATGTATCGATATTTGGTTTTCAACACCACTTTAACTCATAGACCTTATCACAATAAAGTAAAGACATTTTCGTATCTTTGAGCTTCAAATCGTTTCTCAGGTAAAGATATATAATATATACTACTGTTAATGGAATTTGTTTTGTAAAATAAAAACGTGGTGTCTTTATCCATTTTTAATGTTATGTATAAGATTGTAAGTGATTTGGCTTATAACTCGTGCTTTTTTTATTTAAAGAGGTCATTTTTACCGGCTAATGTCAGATAAAATGTCTTTAACTATGAATAGTTTGGTGCTTACCACCTCAAACTTGTCTATGGTTGTGGGTACGTACAAAGTTTTGTGAAATACCAAACTCAATGCAAATAGCTTTGAAGTGCTTAGAGATTTTCAAATGATCTTAGTTGATAGCAATTTAAGACAAAATTAATTTTAGAAATGACTTATCATATGATTAAAAAATCACGTCCTTTCTTATCCTTA